TTCCAGCCGTCAAGGCTCACAAACGGCGCCCTCGCCACAGCAAAACAGCAGGGCCTGAAGGACGGACCGAGCCTCCGGGCAACGGCACGGCTCCCACTGCCTAACGTTGCTTTCTGAACCTACAAGAAAACTAGCTCTCTTCCAGCCGTCAAGGCTCACAAACGGCGCCCTCGCCACAGCAAAACAGCAGGGCCTGAAGGACGGACCGAGCCTCCGGGCAACGGCTCCCAAACTAGCTCTCTTCCAGCCGTCAAGGCTCACAAACGGCGCCCTCGCCACAGCAAAACAGCAGGGCCCTGAAGGACGGACCGAGCCTCCGGGCAACGGCTCCCAAACTAGCTTCTCTTCCAGCCGTCAAGGCTCACAAACGGCGCCTCCGCCACGCCCAAACAGCAGGGCCCTGAAGGACGGACCGAGCCTCCGGGCAACCGCTCCCACTGCCTAACGTCGCTTTCTGAACCTACAAGAAAACTAGCTCTCTTCCAGCCGTCAAGGCTCACAAACGGCGCCCTCGCCACAGCAAAACAGAAGGGCCCTGAAGGACGGACCGAGCCTCCGGGCAACGGCGCCCACTGCCTAACGTTGCTTTGAACCTACAAGAAAACTAGCTCTCTTCCAGCCGTCAAGGCTCACAAACGGCGCCCTCGCCACAGCAAAACAGCAGGGCCCTAAGGACGGACCGAGCCTCCGGGCAACGGCTCCCAAACTAGCTCTCTTCCAGCCGTCAAGGCTCACAAACGGCGCCCTCGCCACAGCAAAAACAGCAGGGCCCCTGAAGGAACGGACCGCGCCTTCGGGCAACGGCTCCCACTGCTTAACGTCGCTTTCTGAACCTACAAGAAAACTAGCTCTCTTCCAGCCGTCAAGGCTCACAAACGGCAGCCTCGCCACAGCAAAACAGCAGGGCCCTGAAGGACGGACCGAGCCTCCGGGCAACGGCTCCCAAACTAGCTCTCTTCCAGCCGTCAAGGTTCACAAACGGCGCCCTCGCCACAGCAAAACGGCAGGGCCCTGAAGGACGGACCGAGCCTCCGGGCAACGGCCCCCACTGCCTAACGTTGCTTTCTGAACCTACAAGAAAACAAGCTCTCTTCCAAGCCGTCAAGGCTCACAAACGCGCCCTCGCCACAGAAAAACAGAAGGCAGGACCCGAAGACGGACCCGAGCTCCGGGCAACGGGCTCCCACTGCTTAAGTCGCTTTCCGAACCGACAAGAAAACTAGCTCTCTTCCAGCCGTCAAGGCTCACAAACGGCAGCCTCGCCACAGCAAAACAGCAGGGCCCTGAAGACGGACGAGCCGCAGGGCAACGGCTCCCAAACTAGCTCTCTTCCAGCCGTCAAGGTTCACAAACGGCGCCCTCGCCACAGCAAAACAGCAGGGCCCTGAAGGACGGACCGAGCCTCCGGGCAACGGCTCCCACTGCCTAACGTCGCTTTCTGACCCTACAAGAAAACTAGCTCTCTTCCAGCCGTCAAGGCTCACAAACGGCGCCCTCGCCACAGCAAAACAGCAGGGCCCTGAAGGACGGACCGAGCCTCCGGGCAACGGCTCCACTGCCTAACGTCGTTTCTGAACTACAGGAAAACTAGCTCTCTTTCCCAGCAAAACAGCAGGGCCCTGAAGGACGGACCGAGCCTCCGGGCAACGGCTCCCACTGCTTAACGTCGCTTTCTGAACCTACAAGAAAACTAGCTCTCTTCCAGCCGTCAAGGCTCACAAACGGCAGCCTCGCCACAGCAAAACAGCAGGGCCCTGAAGGACGGACCGAGCCTCCGGAGAAAACTAGCTCTCTGAGCTGTCTTCCAGCCGCCTGCCTAACGTTGCTTTCTGAATCGACAAGAAAACTAGCTCTCTGACCTGTCTTCCAGCCGCCTGCCTAACGTTGCTTTCTGAATCGAGAAGAAAACTAGCTCTCTGACCTGTCTTCCAGCCGCTTGTTGCTTCCTGGCTTCTTGTTTCTTGCTTCTCTGACCTGTCTTCCAGCCGCTTGTTGCTTCCTGGCTTCTTGTTTCTTGCTTCTTGCCGCTTGTTGCCTGTAATTGCTTCTTGCTTCTTGCTTCTTCTTTCTTGTTTTTTTGCTTCTTGCCCTTGCTGTTTGTAATGACTTCTCTGACCTGTCTTCCAGCCGCTTGTTGCTTCCTGGCTTCTTGTTTCTTGCTTCTTGCCGCTTGTTGCCTGTAATTGCTTCTTGCTTCTTGCTTCTTCTTTCATGTTTTCTTGCTTCTTGCCCTTGCTGCTTGTAATGACTTCTTGGCCCTTGCTGCTGGTAATTCCTCCTCTGACGCGCTCCCCCTGCTGTCGGCAGGGGTCGGCGGATATATATATATTATATAGATATACATACAGATGCATACAGATACATACGCATACATACCCATACATACACATACACATACATACACATACATACACATACACATACATACACATACATACACATACATACACATACATGCACATACACATACATACACACATACATACACACATGCATACTGTACACACACATACACATACATACACATACATACACCCACCCATCCATGCATGCATACATATATACATATACATACATATACATACATTTGCATTTACATACATATACATACATTTGCATTTACATACATATACATACATATACATACATATACATACATATACATACATATACATACATATACATACATATACATACATATACATACATATACATACATATACATTTACATACATATACATACATATACATACATATATATATACATACATTTACATACACATACACACATACATATATATATATACACTTACATATACGTACATATACATTTACATATACATACATATACACATATATATATACACATACATCTACATATACATACATACATACATATATATATACACACTTACATATACGTACATATACATTTACATATACATTTACATATACATTTACATATACATTTACATATACATTTACATATACATTTACACATACATTTACATATACATACATATACATACATATACATATACATACATATATATATACAGTATATATATACATATACGTACATATACATTTACATATACATACATATACATACATGTACATACATACATATACATACATATACATACATATACATACATATACATACATATACATACATATACATACATATACATACATTTGCATTTACATACATATACATACATTTGCATTTACATGCATATACATACATATACATACATATACATACATATACATACACATACATACACATACATACTCATACGTACATACATATACATACATATACATACATATATACATACATATACATACATATACATACATATACATACATACATACATACATATACATACATATACATACATATACATACATATACATACATATACATACATATACATACATATACATACATATACATACATATACATACATATACATACATACTACAGACAGACAGACAGACAGACAGACAGGCAGGCAGGCAGGCAGGCAGGCATGCATGCATGCATGCATACATACATACATGCATACATGTTCTCTATGGATGATGTAACCGATCTGTGGCTGACCTTGTCCCAAGGCAAGTTGGACAGAATTGCTACCCCTTGGACAAGCACTAGAAGCAGAGTGGGGATCCAAAATTGATGTAACAGTGTAACATTATTATCATTTATTATTATTTTATTATTGAGGGAACACGAGTGAGACCATTATTGATGACTGAGGATGGTCAAGGAAGACCACACGCGTCAATTGGCCCAAAGGTTCTGCTCGGTCGTCTGGGGCAATCGTTTGGGCCTTGGCATTGCCCTGACCACACTGTTGAGAAAACGTATTGGCCGGACTGCCAGGTCGTGGCATTGGGATGATGGCGAGGACACAGTTTGCACCCGAAATCAATTGTTGTTGTCTTGCCGACTGTCATGGCTTTGGATTGGGCCCTGTGACTTTGACCAGGAGAGATTGAAGCCTGACTGGACGAGGTCTGGTACTCGGCCAACAGATGGGTCCGAGATGGTAGAGGTGCGCATTTCCTGAAATCTGAGAGCCCCAAACCAGATTCTTAGATGTCATTTCAGGAAAGTTCCATAAAAATTCAATCTTTTTAATTTCTGTTAGATCTGTTAGACCGTCAAGATCCAACAGATCCATTTTGGGCACTGTCGTAAGGCAAGCACACGTATTGTCGACTCGGTCGACTCGACCAGGGCAAAGCTTCTCTGCAAGGATCGCTGGATCAATCCATGGGAATTCAATCCAGAAGGGTAGGGAATCCATTTCTGGGCGTGATACGGTCATTGATCTTGGATTTATTGAGGGCTGGATGATAAACATGCTCGTTACCAGGAGGTAGGAGAAACTTCCGCAAGGCACTTCTCAGTCAGTGACAGACACGAATAGTGTTTCTTCTAGTCGGTGTTCGTTTGTGTTCGCTCAAATCCAGACCCATCAATGGGCCAGAAGACTGCAGATTTTTGTCATATTTTTTACATTCAGTATCATACAATTTTATGTTTGGGTCAAAGGTATCCAAGTCTGACCTATCCAGACATTGCCATCCTCGGGGGAGGAAGTCAATGATGGCCACAAGTGTCGTGACGCCACGTTCTCTCTCAAGCCGCGCGACGTCAAGAGGCGGGATCGGGTGACGTCACCATACAGACATCATTGATATGGAGCGTGCGTATATGTTTACAATTGTTTATACATACTCCGACATGTTTCTGCCATGTTTAAATGTAATTGCCTCAAGAGAGTAATGATATATAATGATATATATATATACACTGCGGAAGTTCAACTTTGATCCCACAGTTGTTGCCATGATGAAACCACGGTTCAGGCAGTGCTGGGAGCATGGATTCCATGTGGCTCGACTGGAATCCAAGAGTCAAAACGCCAAACTGCTGACAGCTGGTTTGCTGTTCTTTGGATGTGTCTTAAATCTGGGGATTTGACATGATTTGACCCCATAATACAAATTCCAATTGGGAAAATTATGTCAAGAAAAAACATCCAGTGGATTTAGGGGTACCACATTGACATGTTTCCAATAGCGGACAGAGTTCGCAGCATGATCAGTGAGCCATCCTGACATGGTGCCAGTGGCAAGCCAGGTTCATGCCTGAAAAGATGCAGGACGAAAACGTGGATAAGATTCAACAGGACAGTAGTAGATTCAGTAGATCAAGATTTGGATTTATAGAGGAGTTACTCATTGTGGACACCAAAGCTATATATATATATATGTAGATAGTTATAAGTTATGATACTAGACATATCCAATGTCTATTGGTTTTAAGTTATATACTGCATATATATATATATATATATGATATAATATTATATCATTGTATAATACCAATGTCCAACCTCTTTGTACTCACAGGACGTGGATCCTGAACCAACTGAACCATTCAAGCCGCTGCAAACATGGACCCGGTGCCGTTCCAAGTTCACCACGTCACCGGGGCAGGGGCTTGAAGCATGGATCAGGTTTGGATGGTGACATCCGACTTTTTTGATTGTCAAATCTCTTGTTTTTGGATTTTTGTAAATGTTAGATCGCCACATTTTTGCTGGTGATTTAAAATGTTTAATGCTAATCCAGTTAATCTCCAATTTTGGGATGGTTGATCTCGTCCATTTGAATCCGTCGACCGCAAAGGCTTCGACATCGAGAGCCATTGCCTTACACATTGGGACATCTCGGGAACGGACCATCAAAAATGAGCAACAATGATCCATGTGGGCCATACGAAACATGTAATCGGTTCTTGATATTTAAACATATCCACGAGGATATTTGTTTAAACGATTTTTGATGATTTTCAACCATACCGAAACAACCCCAACCCAAACAAGTGACCCTGCAGCTGTCACTGAGACTTGCGCCCATGCCTGATGTGGAAGCGCTTCTCGCAAGCCACTCAGCTGTGCCACGGCTGTGACCTCGCTGTGGAATGGTGCACTGCAGGGCATTGGGCCAGCGGTGTCATTTGGGCACGGCTTGCTGTGGTGGCACCCTCGGAGCTGAAATCACTGCAGTTTGGGTGGAATCCATCTAGAATCTATATATATATATACATATACATATATGAATCTATCGAATTCTATGATACTTGGAACACCAACTTGCAGAAAGAGATGAGAAACATCCTATCCAAAAAGGCATACACATTGATCCCATCTCAGAGTGGAAGTCGTCTGTGGTGATTCTGAGGCCAGGATGCTTCCAGCAATATGCCATTGGCTGGATGCCAGGGATGAGCCTTTCAGGTCAGGGCTATGCGGCTATCCACATGTTTCATTTGGGGCAAAAGAGCGGTGACCTTTCACACCTTTCACCAGCCTCTCCTGTCGCCATGAGTCCGTGACATTTTTGGGGAGCCCAATCTGACCCACCTCACCTGCTGTGGAATCCATAGGCTGGAACTTTTGGCAGGTGTCCACTTGAGCGCAGCTGAATTGGGCAAACTTCTTCGAGAGCAACGGATCAACTTGGATTACATGTCGTGCGGCCCCCAGTGGCTGTGTCCCTGAAACCCATGTGCCACCACAGCAAATCCGGAAACCGAAAGCGGTTGATATTCCTCATGAGGATACTACCAGCTTAGCGGCCTAGCGTGAATGATCCCTTTACCACAGAGCAAAAAACCGTTTCCAAGTGTGATCATACATACTTTTCAAGACTGAACTTAGGTTCCAACTTTGGGGAACTGGGGTACTTGTTTTGGAGAACCGAGCTTCCTATTCGTGACAACTTGGGTTATGGTTTTCCCAATTAATCTTCAAAATCTCACGTATCTGGGAAGTGACCTAGTGATCTGAGGGAGACACTTGATAGCTAGGCGCAGCCGGGTGTTGGAGCTAGCAGCAGGACGTGGGGCGCAAAGCATCGCGACTCGGTTTGGAAAGTGTGGCGGGTCGATATGGGGATATATGGCCATGGGGTACCTGGTACCCTCTGGTGTCATTTTCAGCGTATTTTCACAACTGGGAGCAACCGCCACAACTGTCACACTGACTATGCAACCATCAATTTTGATTGCATACGAAATAATCATTCCACCCGCATGTAAAAGGGATTGGGAAATGTACAATCGAGGGAGGTTTAGCATCTTTGGATGCTGGGAGGAGATTATATTCACCCCGCAGTTTGCACTACATTTGAATATGGGCCAAAATGGGGTACCCAATGGACCACCAAATTGGTCATATTTTTGGACCAGAAAAAAATTGAAACCATCCAATTTGGGGGGACAGATTTTGAGGCATGCCCATTTCACCAGCCCATTTCACCAGCCAGATCTACCCTCGGGGAATCAAACATGGCAATGGAAAATTCCCCATTGATGATCTTTCCATAGAATCCTCCATTTACAGTATATAGATTTGCAAACCATTTCCGCGTCAAACAGTTGATCCTGAGCTTCATGGGTTCACAGTGGCTACCCGCGTGGCATCAGGATTTCTTGGCCTTTTTGCATTTGGTGGAGGTGCCGTTGCATTCATTTTTCATCCATCAAAAGATGCATTTGTTGACGGGCTATGCTGGACAGGAAACTGCAAGAAGCGCAACTTTTGCCGAGGCTGACCTGTATTGCACCAAACTGAACAGATGCTGACCTCATTTCATGATTTGTACCTGGAATATCTTGGGGGATGGTCACCAATCCATTGGTAGGGATTTACATAGCCATGATACCGACAAGGATTCTCAATAATATGGGATGGATGACCAGAAACCATATTCAAAATTATTCGCATCATTTTTTGATCATGGCACATATTTTCCGTACGCTAATGGCGTGTCCTCTGCCCAGATCCTTCAGGACCTTCTCGCCAATGAAGGGCCACGGCGGCCGAAGCCTGAACCACCTGAGGAGGCGAGGATAAGTCACTGCTATCCAGATAGAAAGATATAGGAAAGACGTTTCTACAAACAAAGTAGGTGGATAGGTGACCAATACCATATAGATACACTATATATATATAATAACAATAATAACAACAATAGTAGTAATAGTAATAATAGTAATGATAATAATAGTAATAATAGTAATAATAATAGCAATCATAATAATAAATGATTAATGATAATCATAGTAATCATAATAAATAATAATGATAATAATGATAATACTAATACTAATACTACTACTACTAATAATAATCATCATAATAAATAGTAATAATGATAACAATAAGTATATATGCAGATACATGGATGTATAGATCCACCCTCTGTGATCTCTATGACAAGTGAAATCTCAATGATGAGTGGCGCATGATATCCACCATTTTCTACCTTTGCAGAATGGGTGTAATTCCTCCATTTCAAAGTTTTGCATTTCTGCAGGCTGCCATGGCTGTGGTGCGGGCTGTTTTCAACTCCTACGTTGGCCCCTTGGGTCCCTCAGTGCACTGCATCATGTCTCGTGTGTCTCGTGGCTGAAGCAGACGCTCAGACACCCTTGAGGACTCCAGCAAGACTGGAGAGTTGATGCGGCAAGACTACATGCGGATCTTGCGGGACCGCAACCAGGCCAGCCACTTGGTTTCAAGGAATCCCCCAGGGCCTTAGAAACACATATGAAGGAGATAGTGCAATTTATGGGGTGGACTTTCGAATGGTTCAATACCCTGTTGCAAAAAAGTGGACTTCTGCTGTAGACACTTTCTGATGCTTTGCTTTGTGACGTCTATGCAATCCGGAGCAGCAATGGTTTCATTTCTACGTGCCGAGGGTTGCATCTGAAAATCTCTGAGATGTTAAGAGTTGATGATGGTGGCCCCAAGATAGAAATAGTTGCTCACGTGCTTTTGGATAAGGCTGCTTTCCTTTCTCATTTTTTGAGAACACTGTAGCAGGTGCCGCGCACAGCTGACGCATTGAGGGACTTCACAAAGCACTTGGCTTTCTGCCGAGAGGACCTTTCTCCCAACGTTTTCAGTAGCAGCTTATCGGCGCTTCTCAGCGCATCTTGCTTGGATTTTGATTGCGAAGAACTCTACCTTCTATTGGACACTGGTTCTACAAAAGAATCTCCACCCCGAGAAGCCCATATTTAAGGTGCAAAAGGTAGTGTATGGCCTTCAACCAGAAATGTTTGCGTGTATGATGGGACATCAAATGACAGTTGATATATAAAATAACACTTGGACACTTGTTATACTGGTAGCCATCAAACCAAAGGGTTAAAGGGGGGGTGTCAACATGGGTCGCCCCAGGATGGATTGCCGGGATCCTTGGACTTCGTGGCCTTCATGAGGCGCCCAGAAGATGGGATCCATATCCACTGCCAAGATCTACCAAGATCTACCAAGATCGTCTTGTAGCTCATGTCTAGCTGTCCTTGGGCCGGAGGTTCGTGGTGTTTCTGAGTGGAAAGTGACGCGGCCGCTGGATCTACTGCATGGAGCAAAGTACCCATATACAGAAAGCTGGCGAGGGCAGATGCCTTCGCAGTAACCCATCCAGCACGCACTGAGAGGTTGCAATAAGCAGCCTCTCTGTGAAAAAGCACAATGGGCAATGCAAAAGATGAACACTTGAGAGTTGCTCAATTGTTCTTGGCGGACATAGGTAGCGCAAGCCAATGATGTTATGTAGTTGCTACATATCTAGAACATTTGATTAGAACAGAAAATACTACCTATGCTTCGTTTGGGTGAAAGAAGACGGTTACATGTGTTTTGATATCAACAAGCTGCATTTTTGTCTTGATGGATATGCATCTTCCCGAGGACGGGCTCAAGAGGGGTGTGTCCACTTCCCGTCCACTTTTTGTCCGAATATTGAAGTTTCGGCTGTACAAAGGTGCGGCTGAGTGGCAGGTTGAACACGATTCCCACGATTGAAACGTGTACGGTCAAGCCAGCTTTTCGCTCACAAGGCCAAGATGCTTCCAGAATCCCTCTTGTCTGTTGCCAACAAGGACTGCAGCATTCTGCAGCTTCGTTTCGATAGCAAGTCCCACCAGCTTAAGCAATCATTCACCAAGCCTTGCGAGACAGTTTACCCTATGGCCAAGAATCCGATCATCATTTATTGTTGATCACACTCGGATTTATTCACATTCTTTAAGAGAGTGATTCAAGAATCGACTACAAAAGCAGCAAAAGCGCAATACAGATGGGTTTGTCCAACAACCAGGTATAGCCTGATTACATGGCCATCAACTCCGCCAATAATGGGGAACTTGAATTTCTCAACCGTAGGACGACATTTGGGGGTCATACACAGAGGGAAAATGATGATCAACCAAATTAGGTGAGAGTGAGAATGCATTGGATTTCAAACCATGGATTCTAGTGTTGTTCCCCCCAAATTGATGGTTGATTGATGGTTGATTTTTGGATAAACATCATTACCTTTCCAACAAAAAACATGTTCTTCTGCTTTTCTCACAAATTGATGGGTTTCCCGGTTTCCTCCTTAAAGACTCCCTGCCCTTTCAGTCTGCGGCAGGATGTTTGGAGACATGCCCTCGACCGCGATGGCCAAGTGAAGCTCTTTGAGGCTGAGGACTTTGGCATGCCAGGGTAGTCCATTAAGAGAGAGTTGGAAAAGGTTAACAAACCTATCATATGGATTTTTGGTGAGGATGGGACATCAGCAGCATCCCTGAGGAAAGGGAACAGTTGCAACACCACAGGAGATGAGTTCATGGGCCACTTTTGGTGCAGTCTTCATCTGTCTAATTGCTGCTGGGTTCAATGGGGGGCGACGGCCGCATGTGAGTTCGGTCGGGGAAAAATCGGATTGTTTGGAGATTCAGTCCAAAGGTGACGAGAAAGGGGTGATTTGTAAAACGGAATTGGGACAGTCCACAGAGTCAAGACAGCGTCAAGACTACAGTGTGATCTGAGATGTTCGACAACTTCTTCCTGAACCGGAACCCAGAGGAGCTCACCATTGGCCGTGACTTTGTTGGCACCAGAGCTGCTTCCTGGAGTCACAGGCCTGCAAAGGTGATGGCCGCGATGGCCAAGGTAAGGGCATTTCAAGATACCGAGGTGCGCTTCGCTACACCATGTTCTGGATTTCCACAGCATTTGCATTCTGTGGCCAGTGGCTCAGTTATATATCCTCTTCCATTGGTGATCTCTGATATCAAACTCAACCCTGAACATGAGGATGGATTTGGTACACTCACGGAAGAAGTGGCGCTTTTATGTGGATGAGCTTGGCCCTCGGATGTACCTATCAAGTTCATGTTCACCTTCACAAGCCTTGCCATGCCATCAGCTCAGGCGGCTACATGCTGGAATGGCTCCTGTCATTCGACAACCTCTTTGTGCGACACCCAGAGTGCAGCAGTCAGCAGTCAGCAACTCTGTGGTTTGCGGATCACCAGGTCTTTCACCTCATTTTCAACCTCTACGGCACGCCAGATCACCTGAAACACCGCCCCCTCTACCTTGGGCTGCTTGGCGGCAGATGACTGATGCCTTGCTGTAGGACTTAAAGTGATGGAATCCAATGTCTTTCTTTTGATTTTTGATTTAGACATGCTTATTCAATTCATTTCAATTCGATCAGGATTTCACAGGTCCATGGGGGACCACAGTTTATCATCGACCCACGCGACTGAGGATTTGCGGAGCCGTGCTGTTTCGCTTGCTCTTCATCTTCGTGGGAGAGTGAACCGCTCTCCAGTGATCAAGATCCCAGGATCCCACTATGTCATACGATGTCTGGATGTTTGGATCATCGGATCAACTTTTCCAGATGGTTTCAAGATATTTCAAGCAACTTTTCAAGCCTTTCAAGCACCCCTTTGTAAACTTTACAACTCTTTACAGCTTTGGTATCTTTGGTGCACGAGGTAAACCAACTTGCCAACATTCTTTCCTGGAGATTCAACCAGCGGAGGTACATGATGCATGCGATGCTCTTCATGCACTTTGTCTTTGGCACCTTCCTGGCTCGCCCGAATGCCTTGCGAATGCCTTGCGAATGCCTTGCGAATGCCTTGCGAATGCCTTGTGACTGTTCGAAACCTGATTTGCCAAAGTTTTTTCTATAGGCTATAAGTCAGAATTCAAAAAAGACCAAGCTGCACTGAACCATCATCCAACTTGCTGGATCTTTGACCCATTTCCATTTGATCCCATGTTGTGTTTGCTTCAATCCACTGTTTCCGGCAGGTGTACACCGGAATCAAAACACTGACAGCCGACGAGGAGGATGAGGAGCCCGAAGAAGTCAGCTGGAAGTCACTAAAGACATCAGCTATGGATCTGTCATATCTGTCATGCGATATCCATCAACAATCCATGGGTATCCACTTATGATAAAGGAAATCCCAAAGGAGATCATGAACCTATGGATATAAAATGAATCATCAACAATCCAATTCACAATCCATTAGAATCCACTAGAATATCCCATGAATCGTCCATTAATTGATATCCGATTATCTAATATCCGTTGAAAAATGACAATCCATTGGATAATCCCTATGACGATCCCAAGTAATTCATTGATATGCCATGAAATTGAACCATCCATTGAAACATCAATCAATAGGATATCCCTTCGGAATAGTCCATCCATTGGAATCCATTGATATGAATTCGGAATATCAATCATCCAGGATCCATATGATAATCATCCATGCTATAATCATTCAAACATCTATCCATTATTCCATTAAAATTATAATCCAGTATATAATTGAGATCTGATTTTTAGATCAACGCATATTATCAAGATCCCATTGGTTGATGATTATTTTGTCAGTCGATATAGCGTTCTTAAATCAATGGATATAATGAATATATTATATATTATTATATTATATATTGATTCATATCGCAAGGATTCTCCATTCTACAATCATCCATTGTAATTGATATACCATTTTTTTTGGGTGATTATCCATCAATATATATATATATACACATTTTCGATGATATTCCCTTCAACAAACCATCCATTGAAACATCTGGTAGGATCCTTCTCAAAATCCCATGGTGAAGTGGCTGCAAGAGAAGGCCGGACACTCTTTTGAGCTGCGGTAAAAGGGGGTTTTGGACCATTCAAAGATGAGGATTTTGATGGGGAATTAGGATGAAATTGGATGGATATGGATGGATCTTGATGGTGTATTCAACCAAAAACATGGGGATTTCGTCGCAATGATGTTATAGCTATGGACAACGACAGAACCAACCACAAAACTGTAGGGGAAAATCAAACTGCGATAATGTGATCTTGGAATTCAGAAAGTATGATGGTTGCTTAATTTCTTTTTCTCGCTAGTCTGATGTGATTGGGGAATCTCTCGGGAGCTGGATGATAAACATCTTGCTCTCGCAGGTTCCTTTCGTGAACGTCTATGACAACAGTGGAGCGTTGGAGCTTTAGTCAAATCATGCCAAATCCACAAACATCAGTGATGAAAGATTGCAAATGAAAAATATTGTGATGCCAATAGGCCTTTTTGGTTGTGCCCCAGCAACACATACATTTTGATCATTTTGCTTGTTTTCTGATATGATTTTTAATGTCTGTTCTTGCCTATCTCCGCGGCAGTAGTCCGTTCAAACGACTGTACCTCACTGTGTTCTTATGAGGCAAAGCGACAAGGTTTGCACAAGGAATGCTCCAACATACGTATATAATCCCCCTTCTAATATCGCTTATAAAATCCCGCCCATTGGGTTCCGGGACCCATTATTTATAGGGTCCCGCCCCCAGGGTATATATATATATAACGTAGATGGCATATATAGAATACAGAATCGATAATTTCGGCCTCCAGAAGCATCTTCCGGAATCGGTAAAAAAAACCTATACATAGAATAAAAGCATCTTCCGGAATCGAAAAAAAAAACCTATACATAGAATATTACCGGCTATCTATTTTGATCCGGGGATTTTTTTTCCTCAGGTTTTGCTGGATTTCTGCAGCCGCCCGTGATTCAAGTATATGTTCACTGGGGATCTATATTCTATGTATGTAGTTCTGCAAGGAATTGGGTTTCTTTCATGTATAAGGGTATATATCATATATGTAATTCCCTTTGGCAAGTAGCAACCCTGGATGTCTGAAGTTCCTAAACTACAACGTTTCAACAAACAAACAGGTCACCCGAAATGACCTATTTCTTTTTATATTGTATTAAAAAAATGAGTTTTTCAGGCTCACCGAAGGGTACCCCCCACGACTGGTGTCGTAGAACTATGAAAAAAAAACTATTTTGCAATGAAAACCAATGGAATTGGGTGGTGATCCTCAAAAAATTGATGAATATTTTCACTGGGGACGTATATTCTATGTATGTAGTTCTGCAAGGAATTGGGTCTCTTTCATGTATAAGAGTATATATCATTTATGTAATTCCCTTTGGGGAGTAGCAACCCTGGATATCTGAAGTTCCTAAACTACAACGTTTCAACAAAAAAACAGGTCACCCGAAATGACAATTTTCTTTTTATATTGTATTAAAAAAATGAGTTTTTCAGGCTCACCGAAGGGTACCCCCCACGACTGGTGTCGTAGAACTATGAAAAAAACACTATTTTGCAATGAAAACCAATGGAATTCGGTGGTGATCCTCAAAAAAATGATTCATATGTTCACTGGGGACCTATATTCTATGTATGTAGTTCTGCAAGGAATTGGGTTTCTTTCATGTATAAGGGTATATATCATATTCGTAATTCCCTTTGGCAAGTAGCAACCCTGGATGTCTGAAGTTCCTAAACTACAACGTTTCAACAAAAAAACAGGTCCCCCGAAATGACCAATTTCTTTTTATATTGTATAAAAAAAAGTTTTTTAGGCTCACCGAAGGGTACCCCCCACGACTGGTGTCGTAGAACTATGAAAAAAAAACTACTTTGCAAACCAATGGAATTGGGTGGTGTTCCTCAAAAAATTGATGAATATTTTCACTTGGGACCTATATTCTATGTATGTAGTTCTGCAAGGAATTGGGTCTCTTTCATGTATAAAGGCCTTATAAGGGTATACATTATATACGTAATTCCCTTTGGGGAGTAGCAACCCTGGATGTCTGAAGTTCCTAAACTACAACGTTTCAACAAACAAACAGGTCACCCGAAATGACCTATTTCTTTTTATATTGTATTAAAAAAATGAGTTTTTCAGGCTCACCGAAGGGTACCCCCCACGACTGGTGTCGTAGAACTATGAAAAAAAACTATTTTGCAATGAAAACCAATGGAATTGGGTGGTGATCCTCAAAAAAATGATGAATATTTTCACTGGGGACGTATATTCTATGTATGTAGTTCTGCAAGGAATTGGGTCTCTTTCATGTATAAGAGTATATATCATTTATGTAATTCCCTTTGGCAAGTAGCAACCCTGGATGTCTGAAGTTCCTAAACTACAACGTTTCAACAAACAAACAGGTCACCCGAAATGACCAATTGCTTTTTATTCCCAACAGCAGGGCCTGTTGGGTTTCAATCTCTAGGGCCGGGGCTGGCTCGCGGGGACTTGCAGCCTTCAAAATCCGGAATGGAACCCTGGAACCCTGGAACTCTGGAACCCTGGAACCCTGGAACTTTGGAATCCTGGAAAATCTGGGAACCCTGGAACCCTGGAACCTTGGAACCCCCGGAACCCTGGAACCCTGGAACCCCGGAACCCTCCCTGAAACCCTGGAACCTTGGAACCCTGCGACCGTGGAACCCTGAAACCTTGGAACCTTGGCACCCTGGAACCCTCAAGGATTCTGGAACCCTGCAACCTTGGAACCCTGGAAGCTTGGAACCCTGCAACCCTGCACACCTGGAACCCTGCTGGGATCCTGGAACCCTGAAACCCTGGAACCCTGGAACCCTGGACCCTGGAACCCTGGAACCCTGGAACCTTGGAACCCTGAAACCTTGGAACCCCGGACCCTGGAACCCCGGAACCCTGGAACCCTGAAACCCTGGAACCTTGGAACCCTGCGACCGTGGAACCCTGAAAACCTTGGCACCCTGGAACCCTCAAGGATTCTGGAACCCTGCAACCTTGGAACCCTGGAACCTTGGAACCCTGCAACCCTGCACACCTGGAACCCTGCTGGGATCCTGGAACCCTGAAACCCTGGAACCCTGGAACCCTGGAACCCTGGAACCTTGGAACCCTGAAACCTTGGAACCCCAGAACCCTGGAACCCCGGAACCCTGGAACCCTGAAACCCTGGAACCTTGGAACCCTGCGACCGTGGAACCCTGAAACCTTGGAACCTTGGCACCCTGGAACCCTCAAGGATTCTGGAACCCTGCCTTGGAACCCTGGAACCTTGGAACCTTGGAACCCTGCAACTCTGCACACCTGGCACCCTGCTGGGACCCTGAAACCTTGGAACCCTTGGAACCCTTGGAACCCTTGGAACCCTTCAAACCCTGGAAACCTTGGAGCCCTGGAAACCTTGGAACCCTGAAACCGTGGGACCCTGGTACCCTGGAACCCTGGAACCCTGGAACCCTGAAACCTTGGAACCCCGGAACCCTGGAACCCTGGAACCCTGGAACCCCGGAACCCTGGGGAACCTTGGAACCCTGCGATTGTGGAACCCTGAAACCTTGGAACCTTGGCACCCTGGAACCCTCAAGGATTCTGGAACCCTGCAACCTTGGAACCCTGGAACCCTGGAACCCTGCAACCGTGCACGCTGCATGCAATAAAATAAACTATAAAACTTCCAAACCCTAAACCCTAATGCGTGCTGTGCGCGCTGCGTGCCACACACATAAACCCTAAAACTTTCAAACTTTAAACCGTAACACGTACTGCGCGCACAGCCTGCCATAGAGGTAAACGGTTAAACTTTCAAATGCTGCGTGCCATAGAGACAAAGCCTAAAACTTTCAAACGCTAAACCGTAAAGCAGGCTGCGCGCGCTGCGTGCCATAGAGTGCTCCTCAAAAGTGATTACATGTCATACTTTAGTGGCATCCTCCAAATTCATTAGTCAGCCTTTGTTAATCCAGGGCCCATTTTACACATGTCATCTTCTTGGTCGTGGCGCCATTTCAGGATCACACTGATGACCTAAGCTTTGGCCTTAACTATTATGCAGGCAAGCGACATCAGCACGCTATGGTATTGGAAGACACAGGGTTTGCCCGTAGACCAGCCAAAAAATCGATTTTCCACACTGAACAATTGGATTTAACACATTTAGAATAGGAGCTCCGCCTGATTCAGATTTCATCACTTAAAAGGTACCCATGCCTGACTAGCCTTCATGACTTAAAGCGTAACCACACCCGACTTAAGGGAACCATGTCTGACTAGCCTTCATAATTAAGAGGTACCCACCCACGCCTGACTTAACAGAACCCATGCCTGACTAGCCTTCATAATTAAAAGGTACCCATGCCCCTGAATTAAGGGAACCATGCCTGACTAGCCTTCACAATTAAAAGGTACCCACTGGAACCATGCCTGACTAGCTTTAATGACTTAAAAGGTAACTACACCTGACTTAATACCTGATTTACTGGTTTTGCCTGATTTTGGAAAAACGCAGGGCCGGAATTTGCAGGGCGCGGGCCGGAATTTGCCGGGCCCGGGCCGGAATTTGCCGGGCTGGGATTTTGGGGTCGTGCCTAAATAGGATTTTTGCAAAAATCGTGCATGACTGAAGGGAACCATGCCTGACTAAACATCATACCAATCATCCCAAAAGAATCCAATAATTCCAGCAAGTGATGCCTGACCAATCCCTGCGTCATAATAAACCGTCTGCCCCTCCCCACCCAATAATGAACACACGGAATAGTTTTCTGTATTTAGTGGGTATTTAGTATGAGGGTGCGAAACTTCCCCCTTGGTTAAAAAAAACTAAATTGGAAAACATTGTTTAAATAACATCTAACTAAAATATTGTCAAAATTGGATTCCGAAGCTTCCCCCTGACATTAAATTGAAAACATTCGTTTTAAAAAAATGAACTTTATATTTCAAAACCGATTGAATTCCTATTCAAAATCTAACTCAAATCTTGCCAAATTGGATTTCGAAGCTTCCCCTTATATTAAATTGAAAACCTTACTAATCCCCATCTCCTTTTACTAAACGTACCCTAAATACTAAAATATTACATTGATTCCTTTTACTAGGGTCCGCGTTAAATTTTGGGAAATTTCAGGCTGGCCAGTTTGACTTTTAATTGATACCTTTTCAAAAACAAATTAAACATGAAGGTCCCATTTCAGGATTTCACCACCAAAAAATAAAAACTAGTCAGCCCCGGTGTTTTTTTAAACTAGGGTCTTTTAAGGTCGAAAAAATAAGTATTTTATATTACAACGTTTATATAATATTGGGGGAAAACTTCGAAATCCACTTTTTGGCATTTCCTGGCAATATTTTTGCTGGATGTCAAAAGGAAATCTAATCGATTCTTGAAATCGAAAAAACATAGTTTTTTTTTAAATTAGTGTTTTTAATTTAATCTTAGGGGAAAACTTCGAAATCCAATTTTTAGCAATATCTTAATTATATGTTAAACAGAAAACTAATCGATTTTGAAACAGTTTTTTTTTTAAAATATATTAGGGCTGGTAATTTAATATTAGAGGAAACATTTCAAAATCCGGTTTTTGTTTTTATTTTTGTTACTACAATTTAAAAGGAAATCGAATCGATTTCAAAAAAGAAAAAATAATATTTTATATTAGGGTTTTTTAATGTAATATTAGGGGAAAACTTCAAAATCCAATTTTTGACCATATTCTAATTAGATTTCAAAAGGAAATCTAATGAATTTTGATATAGAAAAAATAGTCTTTGATATGAGGGTTTAATATTAGGGGAAAGCTTCGAAATCCAATTTCTGGCAATATCTTAATTTGAATTTACAAGGAAATCTAATCGATTCTGAAATAGAACAAATTTAGTTTTTTATATTGGAATTTTTCATGCAAGATTAGGGGAAGCATCGAAATCCAATTTTTGAACATATTTTAATAATTGGATTTTAATTTGATATTGGGGGAAAGCTTCAAAATCAATTTTTTGTTGTTTTTCATTAGATTTCAAAAGGAAATCTAATCGATTTTGAAACAGGAAAAAAACAAATGATATTAGGGTTTAATATAAGGGAAAAGCTTCGACATCCAATTTTTTGGCCATATTTTATTTAATTTTTTAAACGGAAATCTAATCGATTTCGAAATAGAAAAACATACATAGTTTTTTATGTTGGGAGTTTTTATTTGATATTAAGCTTCGGAATCCACTTGTTTGCCATATTTTAATTGGATTTAAAAAGAAAGAAATCTGATCGATTTTGAAATAGAAATATGTGTATATATATATATGTGTGTGTGTTTTTTTTATCAGTATTAGGGGGAAGCTTCGTACCCTAATACTAAAGACCCCCCCAATACTAAAAACTCCTCCAGGTGTTTGTTATTTGGGTGGGTGGGTGAAGGGGCGACTGTTTAGCAACAGGGGGAAGGGATTAAACCGTTTTTTGTTTCTAATTTCAAAATCCATGAAAATAATCTTTAAATAGAATACTGCCAAGAATAGGATTTCGAAGCTTTCGCCTAGTATCAAATAAAACACCAACACCTGAATTAAAAAAACTAAAATTGACGATCTTAAAGGACGGACCCCAATAAAAGACACCCCGGTGTTGACTAGTTTTTTATTCTTTGGGGGTGAAACCCTCACATGGTACCTTCATTTTTAAAATTGTTTCCTCAAGGGGATCAATTAAAAATCAGATTAACCAATTTGACATTTCCCAAAATTGGAAATCGCACCTAGTTTTTGTCATTTGGGGGTATTTTTCGTAATAGGGAGAAAGGATTAGCAAAAAGAATGCCTGATCAAAATGATGCTGATTCTGTGTGTTACAATCTTTTTGCCCACTACAGTGTCTACAGGGTTACAAGGGATGCCGTGCCAGCTAGAGTCCCAAGTCCATTCAACCAACACCCTAATCGATGAAGTTGGACTTGTTGAAATGGAAGTGAGACTGGACCAGTTGACATGGGGCGATGCTGACCTTCAACGGGAGCTTCGGCGCCTGAAGGACAACAGTTTGAAAATTCTGAACCTGAAATATATTTTCAAAATTGCCTTACTAAGTGTGATCCCCACCCTGACACACTATTCTGACATAGTTTCTGACATATCATCTGGACGTATATGTGGCATATATGTTCTGACATACTATCTTACATTCTTTTCTGAGATTCTATTTGACATTCTTTCTGGCATCCTATCTGGCATCTATTCTGACATACTTTCTGGAATATACTATATTCTGATCCTGCCTTGCCATGAGTTTGGGCTGGGAGTGCTTTTATTTGCGTGGATCAATGCCAATGGCTTGAATATCCCCCAAATGTTGGTTTCACATGTTTGCACCCAATGGTTGCCATTACCATTGATACCCCAAAATGGCCAGGTCCTGAATTTGAGAGTAGGTCCTGAAAAGTTTTCTGGGTACTGAAAAAACCGGATTTTGGCACAGGGTCTGAAAAAAGACGTAGGTGGAAAATTCAGGTATGCTGTTGGGTTGCAAAGCTGGGTTAATATTGTATCAAAAAAAATGAGTTTTTCAGGCTCACCGAAGGGTACCCCCCACGACTGGTGTCGTAGAACTATGAAAAAACAACTATTTTGCAATGAAAACCAATGGAATTGGGTGGTGTTCCTCAAAAAATTGATGAATATTTTCACTTGGGACCTATATTCTATGTATGTAGTTCTGCAAGGAATTGGCTCTCTTTCATGTATAAGAGTATATATCATTTATGTAATTCCCTTTGGGGAGTAGCAACCGGATGTCTGAAGTTCCTCAACTAGAACATTTCAACCAAAAAAACAGGTCACCCGAAATGACATTTTTTTTTTTAATATTGTATTAAAAAAATGAGTTTTTCAGGCTCACCGAAGGGTACCCCCCACGACTGGTGTCGTAGAACTATGAAAAAAACGCTATTTTGCAATGAAAACCAATGGAATTCGGTGGTGATCCTCAAAAAACTGATTCATATGTTCACTGGGGACCTATATTCTATGTATGTAGTTCTGCAAGGAATTGGGTCTCTTCCATGTATAAGGGTATATATCATATCCGTAATTCCCTTTGGCAAGTAGCAACCCTGGATGTCTGAAGTTCCTAAACTACAACATTTCAACAAAAAAACAGGTCACCCGAAATGACATTTTTTTTTTAATATTGCATTAAAAAAATGAGTTTTTCAGGCTCACCGAAGGGTACCCCCCACGACTGGTGTCGTAGAACTATGAAAAAAAATTACCCAGAACCCAAAAAATGTTCAATCTGCTGGGTTTCACACATGTTTTCGATATGGGAATATCGTTATTCTTATGGTATTTGCTTTGGCACTGTTTATGCACTCCAAAATTCTACCCCAAATATTTCTACCCCAAATATTCTAAGTTTTTTTTTTGCGTCCACACCCGTAGGGTTGAAATCGGGCATATTCTAAGTAGGCGATCATGGTTATAATTATATATATATATGCAACAAACCTATAGTGTTGATAACCTCACCAAACCTTGTTCTGTACCAGTCAAAAGATATGAAAGGAATCTTTGTGACATGAACGTGGGGTTTAAAAACAAACAACAAACAACAAACGCTCGAATGATGTAATGGCCAAGGGCGAGACAAACAAAGCGATTGCTGGCTAATTGAAACCCCAAATCCAGGATGCCAGGTGATCCGACCACCCATACCCCGTCCAAGGTGATTTTTTGCGTAAAAAAAAACTTTTGCTTTGTTTGTCAGCTTATTTGAAAATTTTGAAGACTCTGCTTCAGAATCTTCAAATGAACTATAGCCAAAGCGTTACCACAGGACATTGAATTATTGGTACATATTGCTATATACAAACAATGACTGGTACATAGAATCAGCTGGTCTTGTACGGGGAACATGGGGAAACAATCAACTAATCATGCCAGGGCGCCACAGCTTAGGTTCTTCGTTCGCGTCCCAGCAGCGGGTGAGGAAGCGCAGCAGCACTAGCCTCGGCGGGGCTGCAAGGGTACAGTAGCAGCTGTCAATGCTGTCAGTAACCACTCAGCTGAGGTGGAATGCTCCAAAGGACGCAGAGGCAGCGAAGCTGTCGGAAGGAAACGAGGAGGCACGGGGATCACCACACCAGCCGTTTTCTCAAACGGTTTTCCAAAGTCATCCAACGAAATTGTGGGCTTGGATGCTGGATGTTGCTGCGGTGAACAGCAATCAAGCTCCGACAATTTTGAAGCAATGCATTTTGCGCGTTTCTTCGGAGAATTTCTAATTTGGACACCTTTAAATCCGAGGGCTTCCCAGCAAAGATTCCACCTTTCTTTCTGGTCAAATTTCAACAAACGTATCTACACACTAGACGAAGGACCCCAGCATCACCCTGAATGGTATTGAAGAGCTTCCCCATCTGACAGGTGCAGGGCCGGTGATTAGGTTCTGACACCACCACTTGATCACAACTACCGCTACCGCCAGCAAGTTGAGCGGTAGGGTTTGAACTCCGGCTTACCAATTGTTTCTCCCTTACTTGACTCCCCTACATTTTTGCCGGCAATAAAATTAAAAACTGCTTCCCTCCTACCTGTCACCTCAACATACCTCAACTATGTTGCTGGCAGCAACATGGCCCAAAGAATCACAGTAAATTCGAAAACTGTGGCCTCCCCAAAATGTTGCAGGTAATGAATTTCAAAATCGTTTCCGTCACCTTTGCCACTGAAAAGATTCCGACCTCAATAGTGTGTCTCTAAGATCTGACCCAAGATAAACTGGTGCCATCAGAACTTGCACCAGAAACGTTTTGAGGCAGTAAGATTCAAAATTGGTATCCCTCAAAGAAAAGTGTGACTCTCGCCCCTGACCTTGCTAGCGGCTCGGAAGCAAGCCACATTTCTCTTGTTCAAATTTGATCCGTGGCAAGAAAAGTGCATGGGAACAAAGCTTTGAATTCAAAGAAAACCGTTGCTCGGGAATTGGCTTGACAGTTTTTTTTTGGCAGAGAACTTTGAGGGATCATGTGGGAATTCAATGGGCCACAATGAGGTTTTTTCCACCTTCGCATTCAGTGCGTTTTGTGCTTCCCTGGCAGGGTCCTTGAACTTTTGGTTGCAAACTAGCAGAGCGCGATTCAAACATATCCTATTATTTCAAACATGTTTATTGTAGACTGTTTTTAGTTTCTAGTACTCTTTCTTTAGTATATACGTAAGTATATAATTATATTCTATGACGCAGCGCCGGTTGGCTCGTGTAGCGGAGAACCATATCATTTGTTTTTATTTGGGTGATGCATGGGGGATCCGCAGCGCAGCAAATGGGGCAGGCTACTTATGGTACGGTCGACTTCTCTTCCTACAAGTCTTGGCCTGAAGAACCTCAGATCCGCTCCGCCCAGTCAGGAGCCATTGAAATCTGCGTTCCTAGGATTGCCAACACCGAAAGGAGGCGGAACGGACACATCTCAGTTTCAGTCTGGCAAAAGACAACAGGCAATCTTGCAGTAGAATTTCTTGCCATGGTCGAGATGCTTGAACGTCGCAGCCCCTTCTGCAGGCAGATAGAAATGTCTTGGTAGGGCGTATTAACAAATTCAATCCAGTAGTGTTTAGAAAACAAATCAAAAACAGGAAATACCAGATTCAGCGAGCACCCTACAGACATCTACAGACGTTCATCCTGAATCTTCCATGGCTTCCCCATGGCGTGATGCGCCGCTATCAGCTCTGCTCTCAGATCCCTTCCGGGAGCCCCTCACGGCAAGCCCCGGCGTTGTGAGCCCCACGCTGGTGGTGACCGTTCCCACCATTCCCACCGTGGCCAGCCCGGCCGTCACGACCCGCTCCACGTTGCCGACAGCCACACGGCCGTGTCCAGGGTGTGGTCTCATCCCAGTGGCGAACAGCGTCTACTGCGCACGGTGCGGCCACCATTTGTCCCAGACCAGCACCGATGGAGTGAAGATCAGATCCCTGGAGGCCGAGGTGGAATCCTTGCGCTCGCTGCATCTGGAGGAGGTGGGCATAGTGATGTGGTGGCATGTTATCAAGGTTTGAGTTGACTTGGAGTCTCTAAATGGACAAAAGGGCGTTCTAGGTGAAGATCCCAAAAGGCTGCGAACAGCCAAATCAGGTGCCATCATCATCTGAGTTGCAGCCACCCTGCAACAAGAGTTTGGATGATGGTCTTCTCATGATCACTTAACGATCCTATGACAATACATTCATCTTGATTTTGTGGTGATGTCCCCAGCCTTAGTGTTTCACGGCAGGTGACCTCCTTGAAGACGATGCTGGAGAGAGAGCGGCAGGAAAAGGAAGGTCTAAAGCTGGACCTGGAAGCGCGCCGCGTGCAGGATGTGGGCGACCAGTCCTTGGATCAGTTGGCTCCTCAGCTGAGGGTGCCAGCTATGGGTACTCAGCTCTGGAACGGTGATGGATGTGGAGCGTCTTGGAATTCAAAAGTTATATAAATGACAGCCTGTTAGCCGCACTGGGAAATTCAGCTGTTTTGGAGGATGCTGGGCTCGCCTGATGTGAAAACATGCATGCTGAAGGTCGTTGCAACAGCAAAGGTCTTTGCAAACGACCGTCTCGAGTCAGGACCAGGTTGTGTGTGATTTGACACAGCTTCGTTCATGTGTTCCTCTCCAAGTGGGTCACCCAACAATTCAGTCCTTTCAACCGCTTTCTTTTCATACTTTCATTTGGATTTCTATTGGAGTTCGGTGTTTGTGGAAAGACTGCATTCGAACATATTCGAACTCTCTCGAAATTTGGCACCAGGAATTGTCGCTTAAACATATATCCCACCAGGCAGGATGATTTCCAGGTTGATCGTTGCAGAAATTGTCCACACAACAAAAAGACTGACCAGTCGTGACAGTTCTGACCAGGTGGAAGACTTGACCACAAAGCTTGCTGCTGGGGTCCCAAGGGTACCACGACTGGGACGGTTGATGGTTGAAGAATCAGAACAAGGATCAAGATGGAATTCCTCTGTTTGTCTTGGCAGCAAGGTGTCGGAATGGTGATTGTTGGCAGTGCACGCACTCATCAGTTGACCTGTGGAAGTGCATGATTAAATTGAACGTTTGCATGTGCCTGGTCATGCATGATCTCTTGATGTAAGAAGTGCCAACTCATACTGGAATCTCTTCAGATATTAAGAAGTTATGCCTTTTCGGCCACAGTTTATTTAATGAACATGTTGTCGTTGGAGGACTTGGGCAGGATATGATTTCCCTAAGGTGAGCAAGAGAGAGAATGAGCTGATGAGGGTGGACCTGGAGAAGCAAGCAGCAGATCTGTCCGTTGCGATCCGACGAAGCCGCCTCAGCAGTTCTTCAGCCTCTGTCATTGCGAGATTGCCACAAATGGAAGGAGGTATGTACTGATTCCTCTGCCAATGCTTTTATCTGAGTAGATAGAGGATGATGGAAGTATACGCTGTGATTCTGTATCCATCCCTGAGCCTTTGGTCCAACAATGACCCCCTGAGGAAAGCTGCAGCTTGAGTCAGAGGTCCGGGAGTTGCGAAGTCCATTTCAATCCAACCTTTGAGTGGATTTGTAGGCCAGCAATCAAATTGATCTTTCTTCCGCTTTCCGTACATGTTGGATGTTGCTGGATGATGCTCCAGAATTTGGCCAAGTGAAGTTGAGGTGAGCAAGAGAGAAACCGAGCTGGTGAGGGAAGGCTCCGAGAAGCAAAGCGCAGAACTGGCTGCCGCTTTTCGACGTCCAAGCCTCAGAGGGGCAGGTGACCTGGGTGACCCTGGGTGTTGTCACAGGTTGGGGACTCAGGAACTTCTGGATACTTCTGGTTGTTTGATGTTGTTGGTAGGTAGATTGCACATCCCATAACGAAAAATTTGAATCATTTGGATCCACGATCAGACAACACCTACAGAAAGGGAGGACTTGGGCTACAGTACAAAACACAAGCCAGGGTCGTTTTGTAGCAAAAAAAGTACATGTGCCAAGGTTTTTGTAGTCTCCTTCAGACTTATTCATTTTGTAGTGTTCGGAAGTTTATCATTTCAAATGCGTCAGTTGCATTTTGTAGCTCCTCCAGACTTGACCAAGAACAATTTGTAGTTTGCAAATGTTTGCAACGGGAAAAAAATCACATCCTCCACCGGTGCTCCCAAATAAGAACAGGGAGGGTGGGGTCTTTTTGGGGCTTCCAGATATTGAATTGTTAGTTTATTTTCACATTTTTAAAGAAAGTCGGGTCGGGTATCATGATTCGGGAAGGAGTACCTTGGGCACTGTCAATTTTATTCTGCACAGAATGGTTCCCAACCCCCATTGGGGACAATTCGAGCTGAGTTGGCTTTTTGCAAACCTTGTAAAATGGCATTCACTGAAACTAAACGAAACGTTTTTGCCGACCTCCGACCTGCCCAGGCAGTGCATTTTGTATTGAGCCAACATTGGTTATTGATCCACCATCAAAAACCCCATCAGCATTTTGTAGCAAGGTGGTTGGTTCACGTAAAGGCCGCTTTTGTAGTATGAGGCTGTGCCTCGTAAATTGTACGCTGGCACAACTTCACCCCCAGAATGCGCAGGGGGATACATAACCTGTAATTGAACCCTCTGCCACTACCTAACCTGTAATTGAACACGCTGCCAGTGCGTAACCTGTAATTAGTTCGAATCGCTGCCACTACCTAACCTGTAATTGAACATGCTGCCGGTGCGTAACCTGTAATTAGTTCGAATCGCTGCCACTACCTAACCTGCAATTGAACTCGCTGCTACTACCTAACCTGTAATTGAACACGCTGCCACTACCTAACCTGTAATTGAACACGCTGCCAGTGCGGAACCTGTATATAATTATTTTGAACCCGCTGCCAATACATAATCTGTAATTGAACCCGCTGCCACTACCTAACCTGTATGTGAACACGCTGCCGGTGCGTAACCTGTAATTATTTTTAACCCGCTGCCAGTACAGAATGGTATCTAACAACTGCATGGGGTCCACACTTGATCCAATCAAATTCAAGCAATGACAACTACAAATTATGTAGATTTAAGAATGCCGTGGTTCGGCAGCTATAATGCAGGTACGAACCAAACATACAGCAGGTACGGTGCATAGGTACGAATCCCCTTGATTTCAAGGTACGGTTTGTATGATGTGCAGGTAAATCAGAGGTACGATTCGGTACGATCATTTATTGTGTCAGCATAAATGCCTAGGTCGCATCACTTCCTTCAAAGATTCGCTTTCGGTGGCATGTAAAAACATTCCAAATGTAGCGTGGTGCGATTGGCTCGCCATCTACCAGTCAATGCAACGGAGCTTTGCATCAGTTACCTTGTTTGTGGGCGGCGCTTCCAGTCAAGAGACCAAGCTGCTGCACACATGGGAATGTTACAGAGCTGTTTTTTCAGTAAAGTTTGATTCAAAGTGTCATTACCCAGTGTTGAGAGTGTGTGATTCCTGATTCACAACTCTATGTCTTCACAGTGAGGTTCAATGCTCTGGTCTGCCTTCCTATTGAAGAAGATCCCTGAGGTGACACACTTATGAATGTTCACACCACACCTCTACCGCTACACTTACTTTGACCATGGCCTTTCACAAAGATCAATTGTCATGTGCCAATCACAAGTGTGCTGTGTGAACCTCTATTTGATTACACTTGGGAATCAAGTAAAACATTACACAAAGTTCCAAGCATGCTTGCTGCCTGCAAAAGCAGAACAAATAAATGCAGCAACTTTGCAAGATGCCGACAAAGCGGCAGAGAACACGTTGACATGTTCTCAAATTCAATTCGATGCATGGACTGCATGGATCATATCTTAGGGACACAAAAAAAAAGATGTTCCATTGTCCATGCGTGCGCCATAAGACATAAGGGTTTCATATCTCTTGGCCTCTTGGCTACAGTTCATGCTTGAGCAAGGGATATTGAATGTCGGAGATCATTTTAAAACACAGATACTTGAATGGCTATCGGCCATGAAATGAGTTGAGCATCTCTGTCGTCAAGGTAGTTCTCGGCTTCCGGTTTGCGACAGTTTGGTTCAGGTTTCAGAGATTCCAACTCCAACGTGTCTTCTTTTCACTGGGTTGTGATTTGTCCTTTGATTGCGCCTGGCTGAATTTGCAATGCCGCCTTCGTCAGTTGCACCATCGGATGGCCTGCCAGCCCCTGGGAGTCCTGCTAGGAGTCTTCAAGAGTTGGCAGCAGGTCCAGCAGAAAAGGTGAAGCTCGTCATCAAACTCTGCAAGTATTGTCGCAGCAAATCCTCTGACCACAGTCCTCTTCCTCCAGGTTGCTTCCCAATATGGGACCCATACATGCCGTGGAATGACGGTACCAAGTCCAAGCCGCGAGGCTTGGTGTGCCGCATTTGCATCGTAGTTTCTTGGCGTTTGTTTGGATGCTATTGACCTTGAGTACTGTGATACTTGTTTTCTGTGATGTCAAAGTAAGTATGAAGAAGTGTGACGTGTTTGATTTCATCTCTGTACAAATTAGATATGTGATATGTGTTTGCTATGAACTTTGTGAGGCCACTTCCACCAGCAGTAAACATAATAGCATAACTCAAAATGACTGATAGCCATAGTCAGATCATCAGATCCTCTTGTTGGTGCACAGCGTTGGATGACATACAATAATGATACCAAATTGCCAACTGATACCATTGATGCAATAGAATGGTTCACATGATTCATTCATGTGATATTTTACTTGCACCGGAAGTATCATTTTGCGGTTGCAACTGGATGATTGTCTAAGGTGTTCCAGCATGGAGGATATTCATTGGATTGTACGCCTCCCAACCTGAGTGGATTCGACAAGTTACTCCAATCTGACCCCACCAGAATGCATGCGTTCATTGTGCCTTGTCTGCACTTGACCCATGTTGCAATGTTTGCTGGGAGTTGCAAACTTGGGCGATGATAACTATGCTTGCGCTGGGCTGTTGCAAAGCCAACGTATCTAACTGTGCTTACCTACTGTACCATGGTACATGTTTATATCCCAGCACTAAAATGTTATTTAATGATTGAATTAATGAATGTATAATACAGCCTGATATTGCAACTGTACCACAGTACTGTACCAATGTACTATCCCACCGTACCACAGTACCGTCCCAGGTGTACCGTACCACCGTACCACCGTACCACCGTAACCGTACCATCGTACCCGTACCGTACCAGCGTACCGTACCCAGTTAGTGATAGACAGCAGTAGACGGAGAGACATGCACCAATACTACTGTAGATTAGGGACGTCTACTGCCGTCTACTGCTGTCTATCACTAACTGGGTACGGTACGCTGGTACGGTACGGTGGTACGGTGGTACGGTACGGTGGTACGGTTACGGTGGTACGTTGGTACGGTGGTGCGGTACGGTAGTACGGTGTGGTGGTACGGTGGTGCGGTATGGTGGTGCAATATGGTGGTGCAGTGCGGTAGTGCTGTGGTACGGCATTGTTGTGCGGTAGTGATCCCAGTAGTACAATTTGGTAGTAGTATCAAAAGGTGTTGAAACATAAGCTGATAACATGATACTACAAACTACAGATTACAGTATATTATAGTTGTATGATAATGCAGCAATTGGGAGTGACAATGATATGATGAAGGAAATAGCAATACTATTTGAGGAGCTTTGTCAAAAGCTGAGCTTCTTCATTGCACTCAGCTTGGCTTTGTTATCTCAGGCCCAGAGGAACAAGTACATTGAGCTCCGGAGTGGCAACCCTTTGCTCCGTATGCGTTCAGATGTTTCCCTTGGTCCGCGGATCATTGTGTCGGTCAAGAACAGAGAGAAGAGTTCACTTGAACAGCCTGAGGAATGGTTCTGTCGGCTTGACATCTACCAGAGAGATAACCCAGGAAAGGAAGTGAAGGAGTCAGAGAGAACATGGGAGAAGATCAACAATGTGTGGGTTGAAGGTGTCACTTGAATGAATTCAGAGTGATCATTGATCTAGCCAGCCACAAAGGTGTTTGAATTTGTGAACCATTTGATCTTTCTCCAACTTTGTTTCAGTCTATCTACCAATAAATGAAACCATGTGCAAATTAAACTCTTTGAGGTCAACATCAGAACCGGAAGAGAAGGCTACTACAAGCGAGTCAGATCGACTGAGAAGGAAACAGAGCTCGACGTTCAGGTTTTTGACAATGACAATTCTGTGGGTGATGGTGATCAACATTCCAAGATTCTCTCAACTGCCTCTCAGGCATGGACTTCAAAGAGTGACACCATTGATGCGTTGGACCTACCTCTCTTCAAGATTGGAAGCTTCTCATCAAGCAAACGCCCTGCTTTGTCTCTCATGCCTCCTGGATCGAGTTCAGGAGCTGCTTCCACAGTTGCTGCTATGAGTGTGGATGGTGCTGTGGACCCATGTGATGCAATGAATGCTCCAATGACTTCAATGCATGATGATGATCACAGAAGTGATGATGATGGCAGTTCAGACGACAACGAGAACGTTGCATTAAATGGAATAGGGAATGCATTGGACGCATTGAGCATTGCCTTTGGGCCTATGCCCAAAGTCAAGGCTGCGGCGAAGCCAGCGGCTGCCAAACCTCAGCCAAAGAGAGATGCCAAGACCAAGTCCAAGGCCAAAGACAAGGATAAGACTGGAGCTGGCACCAACAAACGTAAAGAAAATGCTACTGAGATCATGCAGTTGCCTCCTACCAAGCAGCCTCGAACTCAACAAAATCAATCCAAAGCTTCAGATGAGATGATGCTGAAAGAGTTCAAAGATTCCCTTGGTCAAATGAAGAAGTCAGTCTTCAGCAAAATTGTGTCAGTCTTGACTGACAAAATCAAAACGGCCCAGAAGGAGATTGCTGGTTTCGTTGCGAAGGTGAATGCCAAGAAGAAAAGCTTGAACCGGCGCAACGATGCGACTGAGTTGATTGAGTTGCTTCTCTCTATGCGCAATGAAGCCTTCGATGTGCAGTTGCTATGCATGAAGCTTGTGAACAATTCCTTTGAGGTCAAAGACATGGATGATCTGACTTCCACTTCGGCATCATGGACCATTCCAGACATGGTTTTCAAAAGGGCTTGGAAGCTGCAGGCTCTCATCTACCTTGAAGCATTGAAGAATTACAGGTTATCCAGTGACTCAGTGATGTAGAATAAGCTGTCAAATTGTCAGCCTGCAATAAGTTACAACAATAACATTGGATACCAGCGAATCATGAATCATAGATACCAGGCCGTGGCCGAACCAATATGTCAAATGCATGACAATACCTCACCACCGGGCCATACCTTCCATAAGATTGCTAGATGCACTGCGCCACCGTACCGTACCATCGTACCGTACCATCCGAAGCACGTACCATACTATCATACCACCGTACCGTACCACCGTACCGTACCCTCCGAAGCATGTGCCATACTATCGTACCACCGTACCGTGCCACCGTACCGTACCCTCCGAAGCATGTACCATACTATCGTACCACCGTACCGTACCACCGTACCGTACCTCACGTGGAAGACATTCATTCATGCAAGTTACGGCATTCTTAAATCTACATAAACTACAAAATGTTTTCTGAAAAGTATGTTGGTCGGAACTTTGGATGGAATAGACTCCCAAATGTCATTGGGAATTTCATGTTAGCATTTCCGATTTTCAGTTCTTTTTCAACTTCAGACGCATAGCTTTTTGTAGTGCATATCTTGAATTGTTTTCGATATAGTTCTGCTCAAATCAAGTTGTGCTCTGCACTTTGTAGTTGCAAAACTTGGACCCGTGCAACCTATTTGTAGTTGCAGATCGGATGCATTGTGTTTTGTACATATCAAAATGCTCTGCACAGCTCCTCCCCATTATTTGAACCCAATTCATTTGGTTCCATAGTTGGTGCGTGAAGTGTGCACAACTCTCACAAGACCATGGTCAGACGCAACGCCTATTCCGTGTTGAGGTATTGCTGAACTGGAGAACATCAAGGTTCGGTCAAGCGATCTTGGGAATGGCCATCCAACAATGTCGATGTGGGAAGGAACAGGGAGGATTAAGAGTGGCATCAGCATTTGTTCATTCCTTGTGCAGGAGCATCAAGACCACGCAGATGGTTACGAAAGCTTTGTCCTGAGATGTGTGCAAAATGCAGGCATGTTTGATGGTTCCATCTGAGATCCAACTGATCAATTCAGGACGCGTTCAACTGCTTCAGTCAGGCTACGAGAGTCTGTGTCTCAGATGGCTTGGAGACTGACTGGATTGCTTGAGGGTATTTTTGTGATGAAACGGAAGGCATCAGAGAATCAGAGACGATCAGATAAACTTTGACTATTTGACACTTGACACTTTCTATTTCTGCATCCTTTTGGTTTCTGGTGTCCCCAACTTTGCCCATTGACCATCCAATTGCCCAGGTCGCGTGCGAGAGCTTGAAGCTGAAAAAGCGGAGTGCGAACGTCAGGGATCTCAGCCGACATCATGTCCGACATCTAACCATCTAACGCCAACTGGGATTGTCCCGGCAAAGAGTAGCGGCATTCGGAGCATTTCATGGCTGTGGTCGAAATATGTCAAAGTACCTTTGCACCGGAGGACGCATTGAAGAGCTTCAGTCGGACTGCAAGCGGGTTCAAGAAGAGGTCTGTCGAAGTTTCAATTTGTGATGGTTCTTTGGACAAGGTCCCTTCAACGAAGAGTGGCCTACGGACACTACCCACCACTATTTATCATGGAACTGTTTTAAAGACGAACACCATTTTCAAACCAGAAGGCTCCGTATAATTATATAAATTGCGAGGGCAAACGGGTGGGGGGCAGTAATCCCTCTGTGTTGTAATCTTATATTGGCATTTGTAGGTGCTTTGTAAGCCTGGAGAGCCTAAAAAACATTGACATTGGAGTACTTTACCAATATGTGTTTTGTCTTTCGTAATGCCCTGTCAAATATCATTTGCGGATATTTGAGTCCAATTTCGGTACAGAGATTCTATGAATCTACTGTTCAACAGGTTTCTGATGGTCTTTGTGTTGGTCATCCAAACAGTGATCAAAGACTTGTGCAAATTTCCTGCGACTTTTGTTTGGATCGTGCTTCTAGAAGGTGCAATTGTGGTTAAATTGGGGTTATTGCTGGTGGTATGACGGTTAAGTTTAGATATGGCCCCCGCAATGATGGTCATTTACCGAGTGACCAAGTGTTAGTAAATGTTTTAAATGTTATTAGATGATATTAAATGTTACTAAATTGTTATTAAATGTTATTAAATGTTAGTGGAACGCACCCCAAGTTGGGCCAGAGTTCTGCAGGACGTACGCCCCTTTTTTAACATCTTGAGGCGGCGAAGCAGCGTTCTGCCGCCAAACAGCGGGAGCAGCTGCTGCGCGGGAGGTGCAAGCTGCTGCAGGCTGGGGCACCACCAAATGTCATCAGATGGGTTTGGATCAAATTTGGGTATTTAATCCAGGAAGAAAAACAGGATATTTCATCAAAATGCGGTAATTTTGCAGGATACCGATAACAGAATATACAAGGATATACCAGGATAATTTTGTTTGGCATGGTATATGGGTCAAGAACAACAAGTGTTGACACGAATTGATGTTGTTTTGGGTCAAAATACAAAAGGAAGAACATTCGACATAGAATACCATTGAATCACTTCGGCAATTTTTGATTCTGTGTCCTTTTTTGCTTCTGAGTGGTAACCCTTCCCAGAAAATCCAGGATGCTTTGGGAATGAGTTCTCCCTGCACTTTGAGCGGCCAGGCTTCTTGTTTCCGTCTTTGGTGGTGCTTGGGACCGAGATTTTTCGAGTTAAGTGGAAAATCTGGACGCGTGAGATATAGAAGCTGCAACATCTCATCCACGTCAATCCATCCCTTGGGCACACAAATGGATAGAACAGGTGAAATGGCAACAGTATTAAATAGAATGGTTTGACCTAGTTTGACTCAACACTCTAGACACAGCTCTTTTGACATTTTTCACCTGACCTTCTCAGGTCTCAAGCCTGATTCTCCAGGCAGGGGGAAGTTGTCTAGTGTGTAGCAATGAAATAGGCATGGGATGACATGGGTCAAACACATTGCCCCCCTTGTATTGGAGGTCTTGATGCTGTGAACATCCGCGAACTATAAACCAAAGCTAAATTTGCGGGTCCATTCAAACCCCAAGTTTGATCCATGCTCAGATGAGACTAGCCACAGTGCCAGTGTTTGCACCCGGATTGCAAGCATATGGAAGCACGTTTGTAGGATTGGATGTGGTCGAGATTGTCAATGAAGGCAACGTGCAGGACATCCCCGGGGAAGCTAGTGGCTGCACTCAGAGCCTAGATGTCAATATCATGCCAAGCTTGATGAGGCAGCCGAAATCACGTAGCGGCCCCGCGGGGCAACCACACTGTGATAAGGCCCATAATGTAAGGACCTGTCATAGGCTCCAAGAAACAAGCCTTGCACGGGTTGAGGACGTGACTCTTACCCGAAACAACCCACATTTCGAATGGAGAAACCTTTGGGATCTTTGGGTGAAACAGGCCCTATTGAGCAGCTTGAAGCGGAGGAAGTTGCTCCTGTTCCCCAGAAGAGGATGCCCTTGCCAGCAGACTGGCGCAGCATCCTGCAGTTTCAGGCCAAGCATTTCAGGAAACAACTTGCGATTGAACATGGTCTCAACAGTTGCTGGCAATGCGACCCACCTGCGAAGGCTCAACTCTTCCATGGGTTTGCAGAGGCTTGCCAGAGGTGTGATGCTCAAGCTCCATGGGCTTGGCAACGCATGTTCACTTTTGTTGGACCAAACTCGACATTTCCACTCCCAGAAGTGCTCTCCGTAGTTTTTTTGCTCAAGCCGGGCTCAAAAGTTCCAACTGACCGAGAAAAAAGCAGGTGCTTTCTACCGGAGTGTGTTTCTACACATGCCGCTTCTGTGGCGGTCTAGCGGGGGGTCGCCTTGGCAATCTTCATCGCCATCAAGAAGCTTGCAAAGTGAGGCGCATTTGATCGGTGTGCGCATTGGAAGCGCATGCAGGAAGAAGACTGCATTCACGGACGCGCAAATCGAGGTGAGCCTTGGGCAGTGTCGTGATACAAACTCAACAAACCTTTTATTAGTCGCAGAGAGAAGATCCACTTTAGAGGGCAACTGTCGAGAGTGTAGAGGAAGCTCAAACACTGTTCCAACCCGTACCAGCCACAAAGAAAGCAGTCAATGCGATGGAACGTGAAGAACACGCAGAAGCCCAGAACTCGATCAACTCAGCTTTGAATCAAGCCGAACAAGTAATCGAAGAAAATATTGCTTTGAAGCAAAAACTGTCTGAAGCCAATCGCAAGACAGAAGATTTTCAAAAGATATTTCGCTGTTCCGTTTGCCTAGCTGCCAGAGTGAGCGTGGTTTTAATGCCATGCCAACATGCATGTTGCTGCAAGACCTGTTGATGGAGAACTTGCAAAGTATGGCTCTTGTGCTCCGGGCCCTATGTGTCGCAAAGAAACAACGTGGGCTATCGACTTGCTCTTGCGAGAGCCCACGGAGCGAGGTCAGCGTGGCGCCACAGCCCGACAACCGGCAGCCAGCAGCCGGCATCAGACACCAGCAAAGCAGTGGCAAAGCAGTATAACAACACAAAGCCAAAGAAAGAGTTCTTGTGAAATTTGGTACATTTTGTTACCCATGCAATTGGTTGTTGTATGTAAGATATCCTTTGGGAATTGAGCAGTTGGCTTCCAGGTTTAGCAATCCCACGAGCTCGGACGAACTCTGCAGCAACAAAAGAGTCACCAGGCACCACTGAAAGATTATTTTTCTTTGGCATCCTTTGGCCAGTTTTGGACCGACGCAAAGACTTGACTTTTCATTCCATCGTCCTGCAAAGAATTACTGTATCACATTACACATTATCATTCACTAGAAATGATTCACCAGTTGAGAGTGTGATAGTTACAGTCAATTCACTATCAAGCCAACCCTTGCCCGACCCGATGTTCCCCGGTTCACCTTACTTGTTGACGGGTTTCATCGCCACTGAGGTCCAAGCTTCCTGGTGGGCCCTTTGCAAAGGCACGGAGGATGAGATCAATAAGTGGTTGGACTCGGGAGAGTACCAAGAAAACACCAGAACATTGGTCATGTCATTGGATGATATTGGATGACTGATTGGTGGTTTCAAATAGTCTTAATTTAAAACCCTTTCTAGGATGATGATCCCAATTGATATTCATTAAGCATCAATGACAGCATCAACCATATGATTTTTTTTGGGATATTATTGGGGAGAATTTTGGAATGTTTTGGAGATAGTATTGCGGATATTGGATGATTGGCAGGTTGAATTATTTTGAGCCATTGCTCTGGATAGGGACTCTATTTGCATGATGCCTGGGAATACGCAACAGACTTGCAGACGTTGCAGGCCAGTCCCTCTGGCAGTCCCAAGCGGCTTGGTAGTCCCAAGCGGCTTGGTAGTCCCAAGCGGATGGGATCTTCCCCAAAGCAGGGAACCACGAGCCGGTGCGGTGCCAAGATTTGGGCCTGCGGGGGTTTGGTGGGAACACTTTGATCCAAGGCCAAAGACAGCTAGCTCTACAGATCTCTACTTCGCAAGCCAGGCGTCAAGAAAAGGGGGAGAAGAAGAATTGCGAACTGATCCTTTAGTGTGGAAATTGCAAGTGGTTGCGTCTTTTTGCCGCGTGGATGTTAGAAGGAGATAATACTATTTTGAAAGTGTTCCGCTCCTGGGGCCTTCTTGTTAAGCAAACACCGAAGTGCTGTAGTGGATATGTCATGAAATGTCATCCCTTGACTGGACGGCGTGAAACACATTTCTACAGTACCGAACAGGAGGCTTCCAGCAGTCTTTGACTTGAAAGAATGTGAGGCCTCTTTGAATTCTTTGAATGTTCGGCCCTCCTTGGCTTCAGCCTTCAGGAGGTGGGAGAACTGGAACGCACGTTAGTACCACTAGTTCATTCATGATGGTGCTTTGAGGCTATAGGGATTCTTACCTTCCAAGAATTTCCAACGCATGACTCATCAAGATCATCATTTTCACCGGGTGCTTCCATGCAGGAGAAGCCACAGTCCAGGATCGGAATCCGAAGGCAGCATTTGCCCTTTGCAGACGTGTCCTTTTTTGCAGTTTCAGCAGATTTCAGCAGATTTTGAGGCCGACCAAAAGAAAAGAAAACTGTAGAGCAACGGAAGGCATCGAGGAGGGGATGGATTCACAAGATGACCCAGTAGGAATCAAACATGATCAAACCACCATTGATGTCACTATGTCCATGCTCGTTTCAGTGAAAGAAATTGCAGGATTTCTCAATGGAGATCTTACCGAATCTTGCCCCAGTTGATTGGTTGCCTCCACGGAACACAGATCCAGGAGTCCATCACCTTTGCACGGCCGCTGGAAAATCTGAGGGCCGCTCTGATGACCCGTTGATCGCTTTGGTGCTAACGAAATGTGCGCAGTCGTTTAGAAACTTACAGACGATGGCGCAGACTGAAAAAGGGAAGACATGAGCTGTAGGTGTCAGAGTCTGATTTGTATCTATTCATGATTATTCATGCAGTGCATTGGCAAGCAACATGAAGATACATGAAGCAAGTACCTTCAAAGCTTCAATACTTTAATCAGTGCAGGCACCACTGGGAGTTCCGAGCCACGATGCTCTTCCTCGTGGTTTGCTGCCTGGAAATTAGGCCAGATGAATGTTGTGGGAATGTCCCTTCAACATCACCAGAAAGATCAGAAAGGGGCCGTGCATGACTCCTGCGTCCCCCAAATCCATGGGCAGTTGGACTTGCCCTGCTCTAGGTTAATCCAGTGCTTTCCCTTCTGAAAACATGTTCTTTTTTCATCTTTTTTCATGATGTTCTGTGAAAAACAATGTGTTACACTAGTATATGGTATATGGTATATTCTGTAACATTAAATCCAATGCTATAGATACATATAGATAGTGTATTTTTGTGACAGCATCCCCATGGGCACGGAAGCAGTGGGTAGATCCTGGCCAGTGACTTGATCTTCGCCGTGGATTCGGTGAGTGCCATCGTGGCCCAAGTCAATGACCTCTTCTTGGCGTGCGCTGGGGATGAATCGTTTGGAATCCATGGGAAGTAGGGGATATCACTGATATATATATATAGATATCACCATATATCACCTAGAAAATGCTGAGATCACCAGTTCCCGAGTGTATCAAACAGCTCAAAACAACTTAAGATGGGCTAGATTCTAGATGCTCCACACATTGCGGCCGATGGTATGTCGAGGATTAGGGCCTTGTGCTTGGAAAGTGGTCTTCACTTCCCCAACCTTCCTTTCCAAACCTCCATCGAAGCAGCCAGGTACACGTCAGCAGTCTTTGCCATGCTGGGGCTCCGTGCAACCTTCTTCATCATTGTAGAAGCCCAAGCCGATTTTATCCGAATTCACAGATCCAACTGCTACTAAATGCATGTGCAGCTTGAAAGAGGAGTGTAACATAGTGTAACCCACGGTCCGCGATCTAGAATCACACATGCTGTACATCTGACATGGGTTGATGTCTCATCTTGCCGTAGGATGTTCTGGTGCACATGTTCGAGCTCTTGAAGTATGGGGTCTCTGCTGTCTGAGCCCAGGGACAGGCACGGCTCGAACTGAGCATCCGTAGCATCCGTGGATCCTGAGGTGCTGATCTTCATCGGAGTGAAGCTGATCTTGGCCCATCACTACACCATCGAGCCAGTGGGCATCCTCAGCACACTGTCGCGATGGAAAAAGAGATGTTTTCCGAAGATGAGTTTTTCATGGGGAGTTTAAAGTGACACAGAGGCAGTCCGGCTCAAAATTTGTGGGAGATTTTGACATGACTTGTATTTTTGCTTGTTTTTCCATCCGTTTGGTAACAATTTCAAGAAATTTCACCACTTTGAGATGCTGCAGCTGTCGCGCTCAGCACATTGTGGTCTTTGTTCTCATTGGCTGCATCGGAGCCTCCATGGTTGCCTCTGTGCTCAAGGCCCGGTGCTGCAAAAATAATGCAGTATGGTTCTACAGTTATACAGTACGTCTCAAAATGTAAGACCCAGGTATATAACTTGTAACTACAAATTATTCGGTAAGCTGATTTTTTATTTTTTTTTTGGGTCTTTAAGTCTTAACCATCTATTTTTGTTTTTCTTTGGGTAGGATGGCCTTCTCACCTGTGGCAAGGGGCTGCTGTCCGCCAGGCCGAAATGGAGAAGAAGATGGAAGGCCTTGCACCAGAGGAGCCAAGCAGTAGATATGGCAACACGTGAAACCATCAAAGCCTCAAAGCATGCCCCTCCCAACAAGGAGCCACTACAGGTTTTCCCAAAACAATTTTGGATGATGTCTTGTATCTCCAGGATGTCAAGAAGCGGGTGGAACAGGCACTGCAAAATGTCATTGCTGTCATTGCTTGGGGTTGAATGTCCCAACATCTACAGCAAGTTTGGAAACCATCTGGTAATTTGGCTATGGAAAATCACCATCTATAAATGACTGGAAAACTACCGGAGGGTATTGTCCAACTGCCAGTGACATGTTGGGATCTTTGCCCAGGGCATGCCCAACACTTGGGAGACCCCCAAATTCACCATCCATAATCTGTTGTAGTGTGGAAGGCCATTCTCCAATTTTCACTTTTCAGACACGAAACCTCATTGGGTTTGTGTGAAGAGACCATCCGCTCGAGGTCAGAGAAAGGACAACCCCACTGACTTCTCCATACGTGTCTCCTGCTGAAAGACCGCCATCAACAAGTGCAGATCAGTGCAGATGAGCATATCCGCAAGGTTTGGGGGAGGCCCTAAAGCATCCTAAAGCCACCAATCTGGGGAGAAACTGTTGAGATCCTGAGGCCCGCAGCACTTCCGGCCCAATGAGCGCCAGAAATGTGGAGCTGACAAGAGCTGGAAGCAAAAACAGTCATGATCCCTGGGAAGGTGGAGGAAAACATCATGAGATTCAATAGTTTTCTTGCTTTTGGAGGGACAGTGGAGCACCCATTTGACTCATTTTTGAATCATATTCAATCTCGTTTGATGCCAAAAAGACTGAGAGGCACATAATGGGGAGTTTTGGGACATCAATGATGGTCCATGAACTCAGCAAAGGTCAACAAGCTTTGGCTCAAAGCTTGGGCAGATGCAGGCTGAAAAGATGAAGAGTGCAACCCAGTGTCGCTTTGTGGCGCACTTGCAAATAGCACAAGAAGACCGCTGGAAGCGATTCTAGTCACAGCATTTCTATCTCCTTGGAAGTGGATCCAGATTGACTGCTGGTTTTGCTCCCGAGGATCTCACCATTTGGTGTCCAAGAAAGTTCCCCACAAGCCACAAGCCAGATGCAACCAGATCACCACAATCTGTCGCCATACAAAACACAGCTGCTGACATGGCCCGAAGCACGTCCTGAAGACTGCCTGTCAAGCTAAAAGCGAAGGGTCAGGTTTGGCTCGGGAATTTGCTGATTTCACATTGTTTATGTAGTGCTGTTACCTGGAATGTCAAAATATTTTGTATTTTATATGGGACTTGTTCGGACTTGGTAAATCTGGTCAGGCAATGTGCGAGTACCGTTGGAGGTTTCACATTTTCGCACACGATTAATACCGGGTACATATATAGACTGTTTTCGGCCACATACTGGGTACTTGGGTTTACTCATCGCAAACAATGCAAAGATCTCGTCGCAGAATCGGGGTGCCATGCGCGAAAGCCCCCACAAAGCAATGTTTAGAAGTTATGGGGATTTCTTTAAGATGGGTAGCCAAAACTGCATGGCACACTGATTTTGACAACAAAGCTAATCATGAAGCTTAGACATGTAGAAAACCCTTGTGCCCAGGAGCGTGTACGGACATGCGTGTTTAAATCGGGTTGAAGGACCATTTTCATGTTGAAAAATCATCAAGTCTGCATGGCACAGGGATTTTTGAACTTTATGGGATCTATACATATATATATATAAATGCATGTGAATGAGTCATATGAGTGTACTTTCTACACTTACTCTACAGATGCAGTACGGTTTAGTTTGTTTTGGCAGGAAAAGCTAGGTTCAAGCTACCTTTTGCATTTTATGGACGCTGGTTCACTTGAGGTACGGCACAGGGCCAATGTGCTTTCAGTGCTATCTGGTTTCTTTTTTTGTTTTGAACTTGTCTCATGCCAGCGTGCCATTGGGAAACGATAAGGTAGTCGGTAGTCATGTGATTATTTGCCTTGTTCAATGTGCTCTAATTCACGCTCCAAAACGCAAAGGCACACTAGAATGCCCCAACATGTTTGGGCGGGAACTGCTCGTTGCAATGTGCTTAATTCAAAGGTTTTAGAACATGGTGTGCCCGTTGGTGTGCCATGCGGTTGTAGTGAGATGTGTCCATTATTGTGAGTAAGCCCGCTCATTCCAAGTTTTTGTTTACATGTTCCGTTTCTTTAAGGGTAATTGCGTGAGTCTGCTGTGTTCGGTTTTGGCTGTTGGCCACACCGCACTGTTCATCAGAATTTATTTTAATCACACCAGTAGACTATAAGGGCCGCTCTTATATTCTCCCTTAAATAATCAACGACAACCGAACCTATCTTATGCAAAGGCATGAGGAAGAACCTCGTAACGATTATAAAGTGTCCTACCAGATCTTGACTCTGTCCCATTTCTAAAACTAAAACTCATCTTCCAGTAGTTTTATTGTCCCGGCAGGACATGCTGCGTGCTGCGCAGCGCCTGGCTTCGAGATCTTCGAGACTTCCGGTGCCATGCCTCCTGGGTTTGGACCATGCGGCCATTGGGGCGACTTGGTGACAGGATGGCATGGCGGTTGATGGTGGGTTGCTGGTAGAGAAATGTCGAGAATGGGGTGATAATTATTTAATATATAATAATATATATATAGTATTACGCGCAAACACCCCGTTTCGCCCACACCCTTCTTGTCTTGGGAAGATCAACAAAGGTATTAGGGAATATAAAAGTCCCACCCCCGTTAAACTTTACATTCATTTTACATTCATTGAAGATCTTCAATAAGAGTTTAATTCTCCCACCCCCGCTAAACTTCTACATTCATTGAAGATCTTCACAAGGGTCTAATTCTCCCACCCCCGTTAAACTTCTACATTCATTGAAGGCCTTCAATAAGGGTTTAATTCTCCCACCCCCGTTAAACTTCTACATTCATTGAAGGCCATCAATAAGAGTTTAATTCTCCCATTCCCGTTAAACTTCTACATTCATTGAAGATCTTCAATAAGGGTTCAATTCTCCCACCCGCGTTAAACCTCTACATTCATTGAAGATCTTCAATAAGGGTCTAATTCTCCCACCCCGTTAAACTTTACATTCATTGAAGGCCTTCAATAAGGGTTTAATTCTCCCACCCCCATTAAACTTCTACATTCATTGAAGATCTTCAATGAGGGCGGGTTTAATTCTTCCACCCCCGTTAAGCTTCTACATTCATTGAAGATCTTCAATAAGGGTTTAATTCTCCCACCGGGGTTAAACTTCTATATTCGTTGAAGATCTTCATTGATTATGATGATGATGATGATGATGACGATGATGTGGATGTGGAACGAACCCGCACAGGTCCCTCTGCTGTGCGTTCTGATCTAGAACATTAAGTTAACCATAATGCTAAAATATACTGTTTTTTACCACGTTTTCAGCTCATACGAAGAAGGCAGGCCAACAGGCCCGGGCAAGACGAGGTGTTTGGCCGTAATATTACTATTCCTGAATCACAAGGCAAAGGGGTGGATTGTGTGTCTGCTCGCTGAAGAGAATCACGGTGAATCGCCATCACCGATAGAAAGAGGGGATGAGACCTTTTTTGGTGCTTTCAAAGGCTGGGAGGTGGGGCATTTTTCTGGTGACCTGGTGAAAGACCAGATTTTCCAAGATCGTTTGTGATTGAGCAGGAGAATTCCAGACGAGTTGTTACCCCTGGAGAGAATGGTTTGAACAGGTACAATAGCATAGACAGCGTGACCTCCGAACATGTTTTTTTCTTTTCACCGCTTCGCTAGGCACAGTTCAGGATGACTTGATCAACTCATGAATATTTGCCCAAGCGTCATTCCATGGTTCATTACAGGATACCTGGCCTTCTAAAGTGGATTTGTTTATCCCCCAACTGGATGGTTTATTAGTACTGAGATTTACTTGGCCATATACAGATTCAGCCTCAAATTGATTGCCTCAGGACCAAGAGTCGACAGCTGATCAGTGAGGGTCAATGGTTTATTCATATGCGGCTGATTACAGGTCTTTGGCGTCTCATTTCTTGACGCCCACAACACGAGGTCAAAGATTTGAAGCGATCGCTGGCATGGTGCTCAGCTGCAAGCTGTGGGCTGTGGTGGCTGTTTGATGTTGTTTGGGGTCCAAAAACTGTGGAGGTGCGAGGTGCGCCAAACCCTTCAGTTTTTGAGTTTCCAGACAAGATCAGAAAAGCAACTTTTAAGAGGGCAGGTGAGATGTTGAAGCATCAGGTACCATGGCGTGCTCGGCTTGCGACACATGTTTGTCGATGTGGCGGCCTCAAGTAGTGGCACGAGGAAGTGATCAAAATTGGATTCAAAGGAGACGAATCCAACAGTAAAACTGGTTGCTCATTCTTCTGCGGGGCTGCTTGAAACAACGTGAATGACATATCAACATTGGAAAAGTATGAGACAGTCCTTTATTACTAGTTACTAGTACTCGTAGCGTCAAGTTCTGAGCGTCATGTGTCTCCTAGGACCCTATGTTCAACGGCCCCATCGCAATGGTGGGTGTGAACGACATCCCATTGCTTGCTTTGCTCAGGCGGGATGACGCTCGAGTGTCTGTCAAATCGTCTGGAGATAATTGTGACAGTCGTTCCTGTGAGGCTACCGGACAATGAACAGCCCTTGGTAGGCCGCCTCACACCTGCTTCGTGGTTGCCAACTTAATGATGAATCCAACTGACCGACTCCAATTTGATGTTTCGGGATGGGTTGACACATTGGTTGAATCAGTAATGAAAAAGGTTGAATCAAACAGCTCTTCAGGCGATTCAAACCACCTTGCTCTTGCCAGGCTCCAGGGAGCAGCGGGGACATTTTGCGCCTTGAGCTTGGTTGAGCTTGGCACTTTTCCCTCGGCCATGGTTGTTTCTTTGGAAGTTGGTCGGCCCCAGCCTGGCCCCATGTTTGAGGCCACTACCTTAAATGGACTGAGGCTCCGCACCAAGCCAGAAGACTTTGAAACCTGGCGAGAGAGTCTGCCAGATCTGCAAGAGCCTCTGGTGGATGTTGGAACATCAATCTGACTCAACCTGACTCAATGACTCTTGCTTTCCGAAAGTATTGTTCTGCCTGAGGAAGACCTGAATATTCCCATCCGTTTGAGGGTCACCACCAGCCGCAACAGCTGCGCCCAGATTCGGTGAGGTTGCGGCTTCATCGAGCCCATGACCTGCAGAGCTTATGGCTGGAGGAGAGGGACATGTGTTTGCCAGGCTGCCGGAGGGGAAGGTGTTGCAGAGCTTTAGACTTTAGACCACGAAAATGGTCGTTCCATGTGCAATATATGTTGCGCAAGTCAAGCTGGTTGTGCAAAATCTTGGGAAAGTCTGCTAGCGACATTCAATAGACACACTGCTAAATGCTGCAGAGAGTGGCCGCTGAGATGGCTTTGGCGTTTGGTGAAAGGGTTGAATTTGGCACATGACTTGCCGTCCAGGAGCAAGACTATGGACGACAACGCAGCCTCTTCTTTCAGGATCCTGACACCAATGAAATCGAGGTGCGGTTTGCGTTGGTTTGCCAACTGGTGATTCAAATTGCATTTTCGAGCAATTGTTTTTCTTCCAGGTTCCTACCGTTTTAGGGATGTCACTTCAATCTGCGGCAAGGTAGCTGCCTGGTTTCGGTGAAGTCATGGTGATCGACTGGCACTGGAAACAAAGAGCACCTGACATGATCAAAGAGTCATCAAGAATTGACACAATGGAACCTGTTGGAATGTCGAAACATGCTTGGCATCGCTGTCAAACCACAGCTTGCCTTCCAAAGAACCTGTGTTAGCTGTGTTGCCGCATTCGACGTCAAGCCACTGAAGGTGGTGCTGAGCCGGTAGGAAGTGCTAAGGAACAAATGGCAAAAGACAGCAACACTGGGCTTTGTCGTATCATTCAAACCCAAAGCTGGAACCAAGTCACGTCATGTTCCGAATACAACTGCCTAGCGGCCTAGCTGAGCAACAATGATCTAGTCCGCACAGTAGCCTTGACTCAACCGGGCAAGCTGAACTGAATTGTAGTCACAAGACTGGTCAAATTTGAGATGCAACAACTGCAACAACAGAGAAATTGAATCATTTTGGTGGGCAATCTGAGCCCAGACCCGCGCAACAGGCGTGAGTCGGGAGGGCGTGCAATGGCTCAGGGCGGGTTAGCCACCAGAAGCTGACACAAACCGCATGCGAGTTACGCTGACTTGCCGCTGGTGGAAGACGAGTCTTGACTTAACATCGGCTGCGCAGTGGCCACTGGATGCTGGTGGATGCTGATGGTGGTTTATTGGCGATTGATTTGAGGGTTACAGTAAAACTATATACTGCCATTTATATGGGGGATTTACATGGCGGTGGATGGGTTGCAACCATTGACCAACATTGACCAACCATTTGTGGTTGAGCCAGGGTTGATGCCGGTAGTGACGTGGTAATCCCCCTGCGCTTCAAAGTGCCGTGATGCAGCCTGTGATGTTACTTTATTAGACATGCTGTTGCAAAACTTATTTCAAGCTGGCTTAAAACAATGATGCAGCACGAACTGTGGCTGCGAGGAGGAATACTTCCGCATGTGCTCATTCTGGCATGAACAAGGCAGGTCAAGACACAGCGTTTGTTTTCACCTTTCCATCATGCCAGCAATTCCGCAACTGTTGCCACAACTGATCAATTTGCTGCAAAAGGCGCTGTTGAAGATGTGCGGCGCTTTTACAATGGCCGCATGACACCTGCAGAGGACAGCAGAACAAGCGGCCGCCATTCACGGGCAATGCAATAGTATCAGTAAAATTGCCATAGAGGGCAGTAATGACAAATTAACAAATTGAAGACCTTAATTTACTGTAAAATATGTAAATAAATAAAGGAACTATAATAAGAATTAATGGATACATACACTGTAAATACATCAGAAAAAGTGGCCTTGTAGCCATCACCATTTGCCAACTAATGAACACTACCAAACTGTCCTGGCCACAGTGAATTTTGGAATCCTTATTATAATATATAACTAGCTATTTTCAGCTTCCATTATCAGCTCTTATTTAGCTATATCCAAAGACATCCTGCCAGCCATGTGCCAGGAGCAGCCAAGCCGCTGTAGTCAGGTGCCATTGATCCATGGCCCAGCTGAAGATGCCATCGAGGCACAAAGTGCTGCAGTTGGACCTAGTGGACGAGAGGCCGCTGGGGGGGAGTGAGCCGACCAGCTATCCCCCCTTGAACTTGTTGGTGGGAAGAAACGGAGGTCGGGAATGACAGAGATATTGTGAAGTTGGTGAAGTTGGTAAAGTTTCAGGATGAGTCACTTGCAACTCTGTGCAAGCGAAGAAGCAAAGGCAAAGGACTGGTAGCTTTCTCGCGGTGCAGAAGTTTAGAGCCAGCTCCCCTCTTGGCTCATCTCCAGCGTCCCAGGCATTTCTGGACCATTGGGCTGCTGGAGTGTACAGCTGTGCCAGGCCATTGGAACCTGGGTCGGTGACCCGCCGGACCCCAGTGGGATACTGAAAACGCCCTCGCAGGATGAATCCGACTGGCAGAATGCTTTTGAGATGGTTGTAAAATGTTGTGATGTAAACCTTTTGAATCCCTTTGATCCCTTCAATGATGACTTTCATGCACCGATGTCACCAACAAACGCTTTTGCACCCACTTTTGTCGGTCTACATATATCTACTCTGTTTTCATTTCTTTGTGCTCGAGCTTGACCTCTCCCCGTAGCATATTGTGTGCAACGCCTTGGTTTGCTCGGTAAATATCCGAATCGGAGGATTCAGGCTCAATTGGATTACAGGTGTTGAAAATCCTAAAAATGTCGGTTGCCAGCTGTAGAAGTGCTACCCACCTTGGCCTGCAAGCACAGGTGTCAACATGAGCTCTATAATTCTCATTCCAAGTGGCGGGGACCTTGCGCCTGGCCATCTTTCAGATGTGCTGCCAGTGACGATGACTCTTGGCAGCAGAAGGCCCGTCGGACCGTCGGCTCGTGGTTGAACGGCCTTGGCTGTTTTCTTGTTTCTCCAAAAGCTTTGCGGATATTTGATGTTTGCATAGTTTATGCAAAACTGACGGACCTCTGAAGCCATGGAATTCTGCAGTTTCCCACTAGAGTCTCCCGCGCAAATGGGACATCTCCATTGTGGATTCAACTGAGGCTTTGCTCATGCGACCCGTGGTTGGCTATGGGGGCTATCGCTGTGCAGTAGCCGAGCTCTACTGTGGGCACTGCCGTCTTTTCATAGGTGCCATATGGTGCCATGCTACCACAGCTGCCACCAATCTGCAGCCAGTGATGGCACCAGGTCACCGCTTCCAAGATGCCCGGGAAAAGGGCGATGAGGCAAGGAAGCGAAAAGGACTTGATGTTGAGGGCGATGAGAACTCTGAAACGGGGATTTCTCAATGTGGTCTTGGAGTTGAGGACAAGGACAACCTTTGCAATTGCTTTGACGACGAGGTTTTTTTTTGCAATGCATTCCCATCCAGAATCATAGAATGGTCTGTTGATCATCATTGGGCAGGCCAATTTCGCTTTCTTATGGCTTAGTTGCATTTAGTTGCTACACGCAACCCTCAGGCCATAGAAAGCACTGGCTGGCGTCACTGAGTCTTATCTCGCTCACTGTGCTTCCATGGGCGCGCTAGTGCGAACCTGTGAGCAGTGAAGGTGGGAGCCTTATTTTGTTTTTTGTAATGGGTTGCAAGAGCATTGGAGCATGTGGTTGCGGGTCAACACTATCAGCCCCGAAGAATGCATGGGTTGAAGGCCAAGGATGATCAATTTTAGTCCGTTGGAACAAGTTTTGAACCATACCGATGTTGCTTTCAAGCTGTTGATGCAAATGCATGGCTAAGGCAGCTTTGCACGGGTGATGTCAGCTATATTTTCTTGGCTGATGGAGGGTGCAAAGCGCTTTCATTATTTCGACTTAGACGCATGCGCACCTCAAAAATTAAAACGTGGAAGTCTTGCAAATTGAAACCTTCTAGTAGATATGATATATCGTGATATATCGAACCATCAGCTGCAGAGCGGTGGCATTTTTGAGACTCCGCATGTGAAGCCAAGAAGTTTTGTCAGCCAAGAAAGACTCGATCAGTCAGAGCAAAACGAAGGTATATTCGTCGATTTGTGGATCCCTGAATTTTTGCCCGTTCAATGGGCACATGTCAAAGAATGCATGAACCGCACAAAATGTTCGCACATGAAACTGGTTCAGGCTCAAGCCGCAATTAATACTATGGGAACGAGATGACCGAGAAACTTACGTATGATTATGGTACTTTGGAATTCCCCTTTATCCAGCATCCGAAAATCCAATGACACAAACAAGAAGCATCAAAAAGCACCATCGGCACCTCACCGCAGGCCGCAAAATATGTACTTACCTAGTTGAGATCAAGTGTCATGTTCTTGTGGATATTTGCGGTCTTTTTCTGAAAACTAGAGTCTCCATTGCCAGCAGAGGTGCCCCATCACAATACCAAAGAAAAAGGTTGCTCAGCCCCTTCAGAACTGCTAAATCGCACCATGCTTCCAAAGTTGTCGCCGGATGATTTGAAAGGCTTGGACGTGTTAGAGGGCTTTAGACGTTGGCTGACAATTGTCAGTATGTTATGTATGTTGCCCATTGCAGGTTTCGCCACTGTGCTGCTCCCAGTTGTTCCGTGATCCCCGCATTCCATGTTTCCTTGTGGGCTTCTTGATAAGGCATACTTGCTGCTTCTATAAACTGACCTGATTTTGTTTTACTCCATATGACTATCCAGATGGCTGTTTGGTTACCCTTTTTGAGTTGTCAAAAGGAAAACATGACCGCTACCCCGTCCATGCCATCATGCCATGGCCGCGACCTAAGGCCATCGGTAGATCGGCGCAGCTGCTGTCGTTGGCCTCCTTGACACCAGTCGTCCTGAGAGGACGCATGACCTTCGCGTCAGCACGTGCCAGGAGAGCTGTCTTGGGTGGATGAATGAGATTCATGCCCTATGAATGCTGCATTAATAAGCATTAAGATGCATTAATGCCATTCTTAGGATATGAGGCTGTTGAGTTTTGGGATGTTCTCCAATCGTACTGGGCTTTCGGCAATGACGATTCTGACTTCTGGAGCGATTGCTATTCCATGTTACTTGGAGATTACGAGGAAACCTGATGGAACAACAGATGCCTCAAGTACGAAGGCTGGGTCAATTTTATTCAGCTGCCGCTCTGAGTTCTTTGCATTTGAGCTGAAAGTTTGGTCTGCTTGGTTTCAAGATACTGCATTGGCGAGCGCTATGCCAGGAAAGCAGCATCCCCTGCGGCTTTCTCTCTCTGCTGTTGCTCTTCGGATCTGAAGTGCCAGCTTTAGTTCGGATGTCACACTTGGCATTTGTGGACTCATGGATGTAGATGATTAGATTAGATCTTACTGTCTTGCGCTTCCGCAAACAAAGGCATATCATGGAATATTATACGTATATATATATAGTTAATTTTATAATATGTATGTAAAGGCTAAACCAATTTTTCACGAATACATTCAAGTATTGATAGTGTTTCCATCCCAGTTTTAGATGGCCAGTTCCTAACCATTTCCGCCTTTATTGCCCATCCGCCGAGGTGGTGGCGGGCTTCCGCCCCTTGCTGTGGCCTGCCAAAGATTCGGGCTTGGTGCAGGCCGTGGAGGCTATCAAGAAGGCGACGCTGGGGGCTTGGGGTTCCAGCGGGATGTAGTGGGATGATGATAGTATATCGTTATTTAAAGATGGGACAACGATGATAGTTTCGACATTGTGATGGGAGAGCACTGGTTATATAACCAAACAACTAACAAAAACATATAAAGCCAGACCATTGCGAATGCAAACAAATCTTTTAGAATATGTACATACACATGTCACATTTCAATATTCAAACATATAAATCATATGAATCAGTATATATCAGTATATCAAGATGTCGATGTATCAGGAACCCAAATTGCCAGTATATCAATGTATCATTTTTATTCAGTATATTGATACACCAATAAACCAATAAATATATAAAAGTACATGTAGATGGAGGCACGTAGATAAAAGCCCTTGGCGTTTTTGTACATTTTGGCAAATTTCTGGGGTTGGGGGGGGTTTGGGGGGAGGGTGGGGGGGGGTTGTAATAATGTTCTTGTCGCGTGCTTCTTTAACATGTTCTTGGATCTTCTGACACGCTACGAACATGCTCTTGGAACATCTCGCACGCTCTTGATGCTACGCTTCTAACATGTTCTTGGAACTTCTGACGCGCTTCGAACATGAACATGTTCTTGGAACTTCTGACATGCTTCTAGCATTCTGTCGCGCTACTATGACATGTTCTTGGAACTTCTGCCACGCTACTATAACATGTTCTTGGAACTTCTGACACGCTACTATAACATGTTCTTGGAACTTCTGACACGCTTCTAGCATGTTCTTGGAACTTCTGACGCGCTACAGTACTAACATGTTCTTGGAACTTCTGACACGCTACTATCACATGTTCTTGGAACTTCTGACAGGCTACTATAACATGTTCTTGGAACTTCTGACACGCTTCTAGCATGTTCTTGGAACTTCTAGCATGTTCTTGGAACTTCTGACGCGCTACAGTACTAACATGTTCTTGGAACTTCTGACACGCTACTATCACATGTTCTTGGAACTTCTGACACGCTACTATAACATGTTCTTGGAACTTCTGACACGCTACTATAACATGTTCTTGGAACTTCTGACACGCTTCTAGCATGTTCTTGGAACTTCTGACGCGCTACAGTACTAACATGTTCTTGGAACTTCTGACACGCTACTATCACATGTTCTTGGAACTTCTGACACGCTTCTAGCATCTTCTTGGAACTTCTGACACGCTTCTAACAGGTTCTCGGAACTTCTGACACGCTACTAACAAGTTCTGGCACACAATATGTCGACCGTTGGTGGCAAAGTCTTGAAAAGACATTGCCTGCTTCTCTCCATGTCAAAGACAGACCTGGAGGTGGCAGTAGGAAAAAGCTAATATCGTATGTTTCGGGCTTCGTGTGGCGAGGCAATTTGGGCAACCATGCCAGAAAGAACGAGCAAGAGACAAAACTACTTTTGAGCGAACAGGAGCCTCGGATGATAAATAACAAAAAATGCTGTAAATACCACTGCACATACACATGAATGTGCTGAAACCACAGCGAAACGCTACTTTCATTTTCACTTATCACAGAAAGTGCTGTAAGGGTTGCAAAATTTGAACATGGCATTTCAAAAATCAACAAATAAATAACCCAAGGGCAAATATCCGCGTGTGACCCTGTAGATATACACGTAGTCGCAAATATGTATAAATCTACATAGATACGAACATGCATGAAAATACCATAAAATACAAATCTCTAGCTACCTACCTATCTGTCTGCATACCTAGAAATGTAACTTTCTAAGTGTATTCATTTGTCTATCTGTATGTTTGTTTACGCATCTCTCTTTCTATTTATCTACCTGTCTGTCTATCATCCATCCATCTATTTATCTATCTATTTATCTATCTATCTATTCCATTCGATTCGATTCGATTCTATTCTATTCTATTCTGTTCTATTCTATTGCGAGTAGAGGCTAGTGCTATATGTCATAGACGAGGCTGTTGAGGACGAGACAAAGGCTATTATATTATGCTTATCTATTCTGTTCTATTCTGTTCTATTCTGTTCTATTCTGTTCTATTCTGTTCTATTCTGTTCTATTCTATCCTATTCTATTCTATTCCTATCAAATTCTATTTCTCATTAGGTTCGAGGCGGCGGTGAGGGCGTCAGGCGAGGCGGGGCGAGGCAGGCACGGGCGAGGCGGCGGGCGAGTCGGGGGAGGCGGGGACAGGAGGGAGCCGGAGGGCGGGGACGCGAGGAGGCGGGAGGCGGGAGAGGCGGACCGGCGGAGGCGAGCCGGGGAGGAAGAGTCGAGGCCGAGCAAAGGCCGAGGCGAGGCTGGTATTAGATTATCGTGCCCTTTCATTTGCTTTTCGCCTCCATTTTCATTTTGCTTTCTCTATTCTATTCTATTCTGTTCTATTCTGTTCTATTCTATTCTGTTCTATTCTGTTCTATTCTGTTCTATTCTGTTCTATTCTGTTCTATTCTGTTCTATTCTGTTCTATTCTGTTCTATTCTGTTCTATTCTGTTCTATTCTGTTCTATTCTGTTGTATTCTGTTCTATTCTGTTCTATTCTGTTCTATTCTGTTCTATTCTGTTCTATTCTGTTGTATTCTGTTGTATTCTGCTCTATTCTATTCTATTCTATTCTATTCTATTCTATTATTGTTCTATTCTATGCTATGCTTATCCATCTATCTGATCTGATCTGGTCTGATCTGATCTGATCTGATCTATCTTATCCATCTTATCTATCTTATCTACCTTATCCATCTTATCTATCTAATCAAATCTTATCTGAATCTAAATCTAGTCTAATCTAAATCTAGTCTAATCCAATCTAAATCTAATCTAATCTTAATCTAATCTATATCTATTCTAAGCGAAATCTAATCTAATCTAAATCGAATCTAATCTTAATCTAACCTAATCGAAATCTAATCTAACCAAAATCAAATCTCATCTCATCTCATCTCACCTCATCTCATTTCATGTATCTATCTATCCATCCATCCATCGATCCATCTATCCACCTATCCATCTATCCATCTATCCACCTATCCATCTATCCATCTATCTACCAGCTACATAGCTACCTATTTGTCTATTTGCCTATTTGCCTACCTACCTACCTGCCTGCCTGCCTGCCTACCTACCTACCTACCTACCTACCTACCTACCCATGTATCTATCTGATTCTATTTGATTCTGTCTGTCTATCTCTCGATCTGTCTATTTGTCTATCGATCTGTCGATCTATCGATCTGTCGATCTGTCGATTTGTCGACCTGTCGATCTGTCGACCTGTCGATCTGTCGATCGATCTGTGGATCTGTCCATCTGTGCATCCATCCATCTATCCGTCTATCGACCTATCTATCTGTGGGTTTGTCTGTCTATCTGTCTATCCATCTGTCCATCTTTCTAAGCTATCTACGATTATCTATCTGTTTGTTTGTCTGTCTATTTGTCTATCCATGTATCCATATTTCTAAGTTATCTACCATTATCTACCTAATTATCTATCTGTCTGTTTGTCTGTGTATCTGTCTATCCATCTCTCCTTCTTGCTGTCTGTGTGTGTGTGTACCATCTGAACAGATGTAAAACTTCTGATTGGTTTTCACTAATTTGCAGGGGGCCACGGCTCCATTCATCAGTCCGTGGCCAACGAAGCTACTGATGTTTGGAGAGGATATGCAGTCTGATCAACTGCACGTACCTGCTTTTTTCGGACATAGCAAGGGGCCAAGCTTAGAACCCCAACCACAATATTATACAATTTGCCGCACTGTTGACGCAATCTGGAATCAATTTTGACATTTACATGCATCAGAACCTTCCTCAGATTTTCGCCGAAACCATATCGCCGACAGTATTATGTTTTTTTTTGACTTATTTTCGCCGAGATCCTGTCGCCGACGAACTATGGGTTATTTTGGGAAACAATCGCCGAAACATTATTTTGGATTTCCACATGCTGGTCAAAACTCTATGGAATCTGGTTATGACTACGTTTGACAATTTCGGATGCCCTACATCGTTTGCGAGAAGTACCTCATGTGGCTCTTTTATTCATCTAATAATCTAGGCTGGTTTGCATGTTTCAGGATTCAGTTCCTGCCGGATCATATAATGATCCATTCTTGTCTAGTGTGATTTCCATGGTGGCTCCGACATGGTGCCATGGAGCCATTGGAGGCAACCCTCTTCAGGGTGAGTGTTGACAGACTTGAATTCTGAATTTACACTTTTCAACTCAGTAATTCATTTAAGTAAAGTGCAACAGCCAGCCTTTCGGTTATTCGCCTTTTGTGATGTCCCGCCGCTCCTATTGTCCCAGGGACCCCAGTGCTGCGTTCTTTCAAGGGAAGCCATTCCGAATGTTCTGAAACCTCCGTTTTTTGCAGCTGCTTTGCAACACCGTTGCATCAAATCATGACACAGAAATCAGGCAGGCACACGACTTTCAGGTGTGGTGATCCTTTCTTTTGATGGTTGTCTGGTGAGGTGAAACATATTGTGCACCTAATTCGTTGGAACTTGAAAGCTGTTTTATGCCATTGCGGCACGACTTGACCACGGTCCCGGTGCAGGGAATAATTGCACGACTTTGTAGGTAGTTAGGGACTGAATCCTGTATGTGAAACTTTTTACAATTGTCCACTTTTGTTTTGACCTACTGAAGCGATGCATCCGTGGAACACTCCAACATCATGGCCTGCTCCACCACAGCCTTCGAACCCATCTTCGACGTGGCCGCAATCGACACCGAGTGCACATTTATTTGGACATCCCTCGGCTTTGCATCCTACATGGTCATCCTCCGCTTCGCTCATGCCGTCTACATCCGCCCCAACATCGTTGCCGTTCACCTCATTGACTTCGGCTCCTCATGCAGTACCAGGTCCACAACTTGTACCCACCATGCCTTCACCTTTGGCTCCTGAACCAACTATGGTACACACCGCTCCGTCGACTTTTCCATCTCCTATGGCACCTACCGCTCCACCCGCGTGGCCTTCCACTTCGGCT